AACCTTCTTCATATCTGTAGGAGTTAGGGTCTAGGGCTGGCCTGCCACAATCACTGGCACCCAAAAATTCATATAGAATAGATAAGGGAGCAAATACTTCTGGTTATATCCATAGTGGTTTCTCTGTTAATTCAGAGTGGAAGAATGTGTTCCTAGACTCCACCTGAGCCATCCACTTGTGGGTTGCTGAGAACTCCTCCCACAAGAATTTCTGAAGCAAAGGGAACACCTTCCTCCCCTACCTTGACTGGCATTGCTGATACTCACCCTTCTGAATTATGGAAAGAAGCTGACAGGAGGCACCTTTCCCTGCAACCTAAAGCCTGAAAGACACTTTTCAGCACGAGGTCCTTTCCAGCACAAATGATTCTGTGATATTTGGCCTCTTAAGGTAGGCTAGAGCATAGGACAGCTATACAATTCCTCCTCAGATGCTCTCTTCTCATGATAACCTTTGTCTTGCCTAGGAACTTTCTTTTAGAAAGGTTTACTTCCAGTCTGCTGGGGAGGAAACAGAAAAGAGGTCAACAGGTATCCCAATTTGCTCTGCGAGCTGCAGAGCCTACAATGGCTGTATATGCCCGTGGATTTATGTCCTATGTTCCTCATGCTCCCACTCAACTGAATGCTGTTTCCTCTTCATATCCACCACTCCACTTCCAGGTGTTCCTCTGGGGCTACAGGAGGAACACCCTTCCCAGCAGTATCTCAAGTTCTTTCTCATCTCCCTTCACTGTTCCCCAGTCTCCTCCACTTAGCACCTGTAACTCTTAGAAGGATTAGAGTTGTTTTGGCATGCCAAGGTCAGAAGAGAGGACACAAAGGAATCAAACATGTTACAGAAAATAAGGGAAATAGCAACTCAAAATATTTAAAATTGCTGAGTCTCAAAAAATTGCTGAGGCAGCTGGGCCACCAAAAAAAAAAGCTGACCAAATTTCTGTTTTTTTTTTACATCTGTACAAAACATTCATGTTGGGTTGAATTTCAACTGACTCATATTTGCAGTTCTTCCAAAAAAATATTAGTATTGTGAAAAACAGATGAGTTTTCTGTTTGTCTCCCAAAATATAAAATTCCCATTTTCAGAACATATTATTTCAGCAGTATGAAGATCTGAGAAATTTGTTATTCTCTTTTGGAAAAGATTCTTCAAAACATTTTAAATTTCTGGAACCAAAATATCTGATTCTCACACAAATTCAGACCAGTTTTTCCTAACCTTGAAGAATACTTCTCAGACAAGAAATGTTCTCTAGATCATCAAAAAACCCAACACTCCTGTATTTACCTTCAATTGCAAAGAAGGGGAGCACTACTTATGGCTATTTTACAATGGAACTGAAGCTCAAAGGCTAAATTACTTACCTGCTGCCAGACAAAAGCGTGGTGGAATATGGAACTGACTACAACAGTCCTATTTTCCAAGACAGTGTCTTAAACACTGCACCATTTTTCCTGCAAGGCCCACACAGTCTGCACGATGGAGAAAGAGACCTCGGATCACAGTCCGACCTAAGCTTTGACCTGAACTTTGTGTTTTGCTCTCACCTGTTGCAAATTGTCCACATAGAAACTGTGTATATTCCACAGCACTTTCTCAGAAGCTGGAGAATAATTTCCTTCCACTTGTTCCAGCAAACATACATTTTGGGTTGTGTGGCACAACAGAAAAAGCCAATACCACTTTTCATTTACTGCTGCATCTGCATGTTAACATGAAGGTCAGTAGGAATGTACACAATACAAAGAAAATGAGTAGTTAATTATTGCTAGACTGTAAGAAGGGAAAACACATGCTTTAATTTGGTTTAGGAAAGAGCAAAACACGAGAATGGCTTCTTCTGGGCTGTTTTTTCATAGGAGGGCATATATAGAGTAAAATTCATGGTAACTGGAGGCTATTTGATGTGCTTTGAGTATCACAGACAAAAAATCCCCTCTCATAATTTGGAATATTCTCATAAATAATTACAATATTCAGCAAGAAAAATCCCACTTGATTTTTTCAAAATCCTATGGGATTTTTCTTGCTGAATATTATACTCATTTATTGAGATTGTTCCTTCTCCCACGTGTATAATCTGGCAATTTGCCCAAATCTTTTGCCATATTTACTCCTTCTCAAGTGTTTGTACTTGAGGGCTTCATTGCACCATCAACAATCTGCAGTGTTTCAAAACTAAGCTGTGTTTAGACCAAAATGCTGGATTTGCTCTTTATGGAACAAGTTTTAATAATTTCAAAACATCAGCATGCAACAGTCCAAAACCTAGTACAACCAGTTTCTCTTGGGATGTCAAACCACTGTTTAAAACTTTCCTTCAGTCCTTCAAGGGCTGAAGGTATACTTGCTGTTCACCATCCACCTATAATAAATAAGCAAAATGCATTCATGTAACAGGGTAGAGATAACTGCTTTAAAAATATTCTAAGAAGGCATTTTTATCAAAACAATCAGAACATCTTGATCAAAACTAGCAAATTTAGGTGCTCTGCAGAATGCAGGCCGAGCCCTCCCAATCACCAAATTAACAGTAGTTGGAGTTTATGAAATTAGTGAAGAACTCTTACTTCCAGAGCAAGGTAAGAGTCCTGGAGAGCAGAGTTCACTGCATTGAACTTCACTTGTCACTGGGTACCTGGAAGAAGAGGCTTATGTCAAGCATCCATGAGCGGAACAAAGCATTGTCTCAAAGCCAGCTGCAGGACTAGAACCTAACACATGAGAATTGGACAAGTCTCCAGGCAACTGGCGCATGCCAGAGCAATCAGAATATTTCAGTGTAAAGTCTGGATAATTATTGCAGTACATACCTTGTTGACTTCACAGTTTTATCCAGAAAATAGCAAAAATCTGAAAAAGACATTCACTATCCTAATGCTTTAAAGCCATGGTCCATCAGCCCACTTCATTAGGTGGAACATGAGTGGGAAATGATGCTTGTTAATACCAATGTACACCATTTTTACAGTTTAGATTCACTTCAGTAGTACTCAACCGATATAAACTGCTGTAAATTCTGTACAAACTGGCAATTACAAAACTTACTGAGCTTTTCTGCACCAGAAGGAATGACCAACAGACATGTATAGTTCTATAAATGCCAAATAACTGAGTTCAGGTACTCATATGTTTTGCAACATTTAAGTAATATGAAGGCAAAATGCTTCACTTGACACCAGCAGCCACTGTTCAGAAGCCATCTAACATTTGTCCAGGCAAGATCCAGACTCAGCAAGTTGCTCAACTTCAAAAAGTAAACGAGTAGCAGAGACTGTCTTATCTCTTAACCCCAAACTAAGTAATTTCACATTCTCTGTCACATCATTTATACTGATGGTTCCACACTACCACGATATATGATTTTTAAGCATTTGTGTCACCAAGTGACAGAAGCTGCATAATGGTAAATTCCCACATCCTCTGAAAAATCTTTGGTTTGCAGCTTGGCAGTTATAGATGGAGTATCTGCATTTCAGCAATGTTTTATTTTCACTGAGGAAGTATTTTAGATGAAAGAACTTTGCTGAAATAGTCTGATGCATGAATGTTTTGTTTAAGAAAACAAAAAACCAAGGCTCCTTCATTTCTGCACTCACTGAAGAAAGGTTTAAATTATAAAAACCTCTTTTTCAGCTCTATTCTTCTTTTCACAGCAAACACTGAATTAGCTTTGTGACAATGTTACACTCTTCTATATAATGAAACTTCAGACTGAAAGAGGGTGGGTTTAGATGAGGAAGAAGTTCTCCACTATGAGGGTGATGAGGCACTGGAACAGGTAGCTCTGAGAAGCTGCGGATGCCTGAAAGTGTTCTAAGCCAAGCTGGATGGGGCCCTGAGCAGCAGTCTAGTGGAAGGCGTCCCAGCTCATGGCAGCAGGGCTGGAACTGATACCCTAAGTTTTAGCTTTCGTATTTTCCGCTCTGTACTGCCTTAGAGTGTAACTCTGAACTTCATATAAAGTGTTAGCAAGTTCTCTTCACAGTTTAGTCAGACAAAACAATCCTTTTCCAGCATGAGAACCAAGCACACCATTGCATCTTTGGGCCCAAAAAGTGTAAACAGTGAACTGAGGAGAGCAATCTGGGAGGATGGGACTTCATAACCCAAAGCTGGAATTGGACAATTAACACCAACATGTAAATTGACCAAAACTTATAAAAGTGTGAAAACTCAGACCAGGCATCCGTCTTGGCTAGAGCCACAGCCAGGCTCTTGTACTGCACAAGATGCATGCTTTGAAGGCCTTTTAATAAATACCCACTTTATTCCTTTGACGCTATCTACCCTCTGTTCCAGGTAGCCTCTCAAGGCATCACAACTAGATGGGCTTTAAGATGCCTTCCAACCCAAACCAATCTATGATCCCTCCACTGAATGGTACACTCACTCTGGCTCCAACCATCATGCAAAATGACCAAAGAACACAAAGGAATCAAACATGGCCACATTTTCCCAACAAGCAAACAGAAAATACTCTAATCTTTAGAGTGATAATAGAAGACTAAATAAAAACTAATTCACAGGAGGTGTGTCTGAATGGGAGAGTAATGACAAGGACAGGTAGAAATAGAATAGCAAGTAGCAGAATGGCAGTTTGGAAAGTAAAACTGTAAACATGGAGTCTTTCATCTGCTGTCCCAATAGAAGTGTGTGACGTCCAAAAAGATGACAAACATCAGCTAATGTTAGGAATAACACTCTGCCCATACATTTTCCAAAGCATACAGCATCCCGCAATGATCTTTAAAATGTTGTGTGTCATAATTCTACTTACTTAACTACATTAATTTTCTCCAAGTTGAGTCTGTTTTGCCTGCAAAAGTAACTGGAAAGAAATCTCCTTGTGTTTATCCAGACCCACGAGCTCTGTCACTCTATTTACTCCCCTTGTCCAGTGGAGGAGCAGGAGTAAGAACAGCCAGGGGGACACCTGGCAGGCAGCCAAGGTATCTTCCACACACACTTGTAAAACAATGAAAAGAAGTACAAATTGGTTTAAATTCTTTAATGTACAATTTTACACTCACCATGGTGTAACTTTCAAACTAGGGAGGAAATTGCAGCAGTCTGCATGATTTATTCTATCCATAATTTACAAGTGTACAGATTAGAAGAAAATCCTTTTTCCTTTTCTCAAGGAAATAAATATTTCATTTCTATACTCGGTAATCATTTAGCTTTCTAACAGTCTGTGAGCTATGCACCAGCATTCTCTCTCAAAACTAGCATGTTTTTATCTCTTGGGATTCCAAGCAGATGCCTTTGTTGCTCCTCATGTGCCCATAGCATATTCAGAATTCTGCTCCAGTGACACCTAAAGACACACTTCAGTGAAAGAAGAAGCAGCTGAAGACATCCATCTTCAGTTTTGCAATACATCCAGCTGCCAATTACTTTCTTCCAAATGGATCCGACCACACTTTTAACCCTACAAATCAAACATCAGAATAGCAGCAGTTGATAATTTAGATTGTTGGAGAAAAAAAAACAAAACAGGCCTTCTACTCCAGCTTTATGTACTATAAACAATGAAAGAAGCCAACAATTTCTGCACTGAATTTGCAACTCTGCTTAAACTTGCAAAAATATACAGAAAAACAACCTCATCTTGATCTTAAACTTCAGATAATGGAAAAATCTATGACATTCATAGGTAAGGTGTTCTACAATTGCTAGATTATTTAGAATTAAACCTTACACTTAAATTTGTCTAGGTTTCCTTTTCAACTAATGGATTTCATAACTTATCAGCAGCTAAATTCAGATGAAAAGGAGAACTTACACTAAGAAGAACTGGTCATTAAGTACCTGCACCTTGGATAAATGAGTCAATCCAGCCCTCTCAAATGGTTAGTAAAAAAGACAGGTTTACAAGACCTCTATTTCACAATACACCTCCTGCTTCTCTTCAGCATTTCCCCCACTTCCCTGGAAAGCAAGTCCTGCACTAATGATCTAACCAATTCATGTAATAAGGTCATGGCTTTAATCCTATTTGATTTTCACCTGCTGCTGATATTAGGTTTTTTCAAAAACAAAAATACATTACCCTTCAACATATTCAGGTATTACATGTTTCACCAAGACAGGCACTCTCACATCTTTAATCAAGAAATGCCAGCCTTGCATAGACACTCCATTTAACATTATAAAAAATGAACTATCAAGGATAGTCTACTATACTTGAATTTTACTTCCCTCACATGCTTTTCTAAGCCTTCCACTGTCAACAGCAAGGATCCAAAAGCTATTAGCACTGCATTCCATATTTTCCTTCACATGTAGTGGATTTCTGCATGGCCCATCCACCCATGTGGCCAGAAGGCAGTGCCAAAGTGCTGATGAACTGTGTTTCATTAGAGTTTGGTATTCCACAAAACCAGGGTGCAATGCTGTTCTTTATAGCTTCAACTCAGCCTATCCATGGTTCTTGCTCGCTCTGAGCTGCTTCAGAAGTGGAAACTGCCTCTATTTAACGAAGTGTGAAGATAGCAGAAACTCTACAACTTATTTGGCCAGTTAAGTCACTTTAAGAGGAGTTTCATTAAAACCATAATTTTTCAGTGAGTAATTACCCTAAATAAACAATTTAATGGTAAGTTTATTAAATATGTTTTCACTGAATGTATTCTTCACTATATTATTTAAATCCATATAAATATTGAGGCCTTACTTCAAGAGGGTCTTTAAAACAATCAATGCAAGCACATAAATCAAGTATACCTGCAGGCTGAATATCCTCTTGAACAATACCAGCTCGGTTTATTGACTGCTCATTCTCTGGAAAACAGAACAGAAAGGACACTACTAAAAAAAAAAAAGAAAATACCAGATATCTTGATTGCACCCAATAAAGGAATCTTGAAAATTTCTTAATCCAAAATGCTACACAGTAAAATTCTGTTGAGTACCTGCCTACAGAATGCAAATGTAGTATTCCTACTTCACTGAGAAATTAATAGCTAGTCTGTTTTGAGAGATTACAAACAATAAGATAATAATCCTCAAACAATGCCTACTGTTTAATAAAGATGCCAAAACACCTGCCATGGTCCCTTAAGGAATGACTAGTACTTTTAGAAGCTCATTCATATGCTCAACATAAAACTAGTCAAAGATTTTTTTTTCCTTTTGGGCAACTTCCATTTTCAGGCCCTGAAAGATCTTGCAAACAGATTTCATGACAGCACCTACCAAATTACTGCTTGTAAACTTTGTGAAATTCAGCATCTGAGGGATATTTTCCCATACACGGGGCCTGTCTCAGGCTCTTCTTTTTTCTTTGAAAGATTCAATCACTTCCACAAAGAGAAATTGAGAAAACAATAGTATTTCCCTCACTAAATTCCCCTCCTTTTCTTCCAATTCCAGTTATGCACTTCACCACCACAGTGCTACTCTGAAGCAGGAAGTCAAAGCTCAGGTGGATTCACCTTTTGCCCCCACCACTGAACTTCTGAGGCCTTTAAAAACCTGCAGGCTGCGCATTAGCAAAGGAAGCTCACAACTAAGCTCACTTAAAACTGGTATTTTTCATTATCCTATCCAACTGGGAATGCACTAGCACTGCATGTTATTAGGCTGTCTAGCTACAAGCCTAATGCTACTGGAAACAAGCAGGAATATCACAGTAACTAATTCTCCTTGCAAAGGGACAGGCCCTAGAGGCACACCCAGGTTCTCCAACTCTGTTCACTCAGCATGGTAATTCCATTTAATCCTTTTTAGCAAAATCTCAGGGACCTGTCTAATTTCAAAGGAAAAGGCACAAAACCCAGAAAGGGAGAATACAATAAATTAGGGCAACAAAGGAGACTTCCTGTAGGACATGAAGAAGAAGGATATTCAGTCTTGAGTGGAAACTTAGATTAGAAGAGAGGCAGGAGAAACGGGAGCCAATCTGAGAGTTCTGGAAACACACTTGGGTTGAACAGCAGGAGCTGCTAATGGTCGGGCAAAGAAACCTGTGCAAAAACGTAAGAGATGATAAATACAGAGACAGGACACGGAACAGTCAATAGAGAGACTGCTGTGGGGCCTGCAAACAACTTGGAAGACAGGTAAGCCAAAAAAGGACAACAAGGAAGATTCAGTCTTGGTGACAGGAGAGCCACCTCACAGGATGGGGAAGAAACAGTCTCACAATTCAGAAAATCAGGAAATTTGTGAAAATGTCACAAAGAGCAGCTGTCAAGCCACTGTTTTAGTTAATCCATGTGGAAAAGGCCTGTGCTGGTGGTCTCAAAGTTTCATCATTGCCAGTAAACTGCAGTCTTTTTTAAAGCTAGATACTGACAAGAAAATTAGAAACAGCAAAGCCACAAACTGAAGTACTAAAACCTTACAAAATTGTAACATTTCTGTATAAAATTAAGTCAAACTCCTTTGTGCACAATTTACAGTTCATACCAACAATTTGATAATATACAGTTTTTCCAAGTAGCTTTCATCTTATTTGTTAAATTGCTGGGAACTTCTCTGAAGATGTTTGAGAATCGTGCAGTAAAGTCTTCTTCCAGAACTTTAATGTACTTCACTTGCATAGAATTTGGGAGATACACAAGAAAAACAAGAGTGAAGAAAGAAAAGATAGCATTTCATGTTTACATAGTGCAATGTCACTCCAGGTTAACTAATATTCATTCTTGCCTTTTGCATGATTATTCTGTGATGCTAATCAGAACACCCAACTTTTGGGACCTTTTGGGACACAGCATCCCCAAACACAGAAATACTGAGTGTTCTTCCACAGCTCAAGCCAATGGAGGGCAGGAGCTTCTAGGAAGTTGTCATACAGCTTACTGTACTCGGAAAATCCTCTGTACTCCAAAGGTTAAATACTTGGGTTCAAACACCACAACTGTGATAGTCCACAACCTTGCCTCAAGCATTGTGATAACAAATGCTTGTACCTCTCATACTGCAGTGATGAACATCAAGAAAAAGCTAATTGAAAATGAATTAAGGTGGTATCACATGAAGATTCAGCACCAGGCAATAAGTTTAGGATCAGATATCAAATCACAAGTTTGTGCACTTGCTAACTGAGCATCAATTCAATCATTCCGTGTCCTAAATAGAGATTAAAAATCCCTAAACTGATAGGAAACATCTACTCACATAACCGGCAAGTACAAAGGAACTAGCATTGCTCCACTAGTTCTGTCCTTTCCTTAATGCCAAGACAGATTTCTAATATAGTATTTTTGGAAAGTATAGCATAAGCAAAAAATATTTAGTAATAAAATTTTCAAAGGGAACACAGAGCAGGAAACATAATTGTGGGAAGCTTCACAAGCATAGCATCCTTCAATAAAAACTTGCTTTTAAGTTAAATTTTACTTGCCCTTTGATGCAAGGTCACAGCCCCTCCAATAAGACCAGTAAGTTTGTTATCCTTTTTTCTTTTTCCTTCCTAGAAATCTTCAGTTGTCTTGGCAGATTAACCACATATATCTTCATGTTATTGGCTTGCTTAGTCTCATAAAAATTAAAGTTGGAGAGGCAAGGCTGGTTGCACCAGAACTTTCCCCCCATTTTCTTTGGCACTATTTCACAGAAGTCGAGGAGGAGTAATGGGTGCTCCCTCTACGGAGCACCCACCTGGAGTCACTGAGGCTTCACACCTGGAGCTGCAGGTGCCCTCGAGGGCTTTGGCAGGTTTTCCTGGCAGGAAAGCAGGGTTTTCCTCAGGAGTCAGTTTCAGAGACTCTGCAGGGTGAGACCAGTTCTAGCAAATCATCACAACTGGTTGCCAAGTTTTAAGCTAGATTTGCAATTGCATCTGGAAAACAGAACTGGAACAGCTCACAGAATCATTGAACAGCCTGGGCTGGAAGGGACCTTTAAAGCCCACCGAGTCTACTCTCCTGCACTGAGCAGGGACATCTTCACCTAGATCAAGTTGCTCAGAGCCCTGTCCAACCTGAGTCAACACACCACTCCTCTGGGCAATCTGTTCTAGTGGTTCACCACCACCATAATAAAAAATGTATTTCTATTTACTCTGAATTTACTCTGTTTTGTCTAAAACTATTACCTCTAGTCCTATTGCAATAGGGCCTACCAAAAAGCCTGCCCCAGCTATTTTACGAGCTCTCTTCAAGTGTTCTACAAGATTTTCTGAAGCCTTCTCTTCTCCAGGCTGAAGAACCCCAACTCTCTCAGCCTTTCTGCACAGGAGAGGTGCTCCATCTCTCAACTCAATTTCTTCAACTGCGTCTCAATCCTCTAAGGAGCACCTAAAGGATGTTCTTAACCACGTGCTGGCCAATAACTTGAAATAAGAGTAACGGCCAGCTGTATTATTTTGGTTTTCAGGTATCTCCTAGACGAGCAGAAAGCCCTTCGGGAGTCACCCACCGAGCAGCAGCCCCAGCATTCCCCCAAGGCCGGGCACAGACCGGGCCACGGCCCAGCCAGCTCCCCCCGCGCACGGACTCACTGTACTCCTCCGGCAGCAGCAGCGGCCGGAAATAAATGGGGTAAAAGGCGGCTCCCACCATGGCCACGAAGGCGCCGAAGATGCCGAGCGTGCGGGCCAGCGCGGCCATGGCGCGGCGGACACAGCGCGGGGCCTGCGCGCGGGGCCTTCCGGGGCACGCGACAGCGGCGGCGGCGCGGGGACCGCCCGGCCCGCCGGGAGAGCGCCCCCGCGCGGCCGGCGGGGCGCAGTGCGGGGCCGGGGCCGCCGCGCTGTCAGCCCGGCCCGGGCAGCCCGAGACGTCGCGTCCCAGTCCCGCCGCCCCGCCCTAGAGCGCCTCGCCCGACAGCGGGAGCTGTCCCAGCCCGGGACTACGCCGGTAGCGCAGCGCCGAGGCCGGAGGGCGGGAGCCGCCAAGGGAGTGGGCGGGCGCGGCCCTGCGCGGGGATCCCTCCCGGCGCGCCGCTCCGCTCCCGGGACGCCGCCCGGCGCCTGCTGCACGGAACTGCGAGGAGCCGCCAAGGAGCTGCGCAGCACGGCCGGGGCTCAGCGTCTTCTGGCCCAGCCCCTCCGCACCTGCGGCGGCGGAGCGGAGCCCTGCCCTGCCCGGGCGGCGGCCCCTCCTCCAGGAAGCCGGATCTGCCGCATCCTTGTCGCCGGGCCGGCCGCGCAGTCCCTGCCGCGCTGGGCACCGCCGCAGCAGCAGCAGCATGCGGCCCCCGGCCGAGCCCCGCCGCCCCCCTCCGCTGCTCCTCGTCCTCCTCACGGTGAGTGCTGCCGGCCCCGCACCTGCCCCCGCGTCCCGACCCAGCCCGGGCGTCGCGGCAGGGGCCGGTCCGTGCGGGGCCGCGGGTCGATCCCGCAGGGCGGAGGGAGCCGGAGCTGGAGTCCGGCGGGGCTCGGGGGCTCGGGCCGCGGCCGCCTGTCGGAGCCAGCCCCGGCTGTCCGGCCTGGCTCCGCGCCCCCTCCCAGCCCCGGGGTTACTGGGGCCTGTCTTGGGCGACGCCGAGTCGTCACATCCAAGTGTTAAGCTTTCTGCCTTGGGTGACGGTAAACTTCTAGAGTGGGAAAAATGGGAGGGCCGTTGACATCTGCCTACAGATGCACGACTGAACATAGTGCTGCACTGGCTTATGGAAACAGCTGTGGTTTAGGGCCAGTTACTACTTTTTCATCTTTTTTTTGTTGCTAAGCGTAAGCTCTGGTCAAAGTGTTTGTGTGTCTGTACTATGTTGGTGCTGATGGAGAGCAGCAGATCAACACCCTTTGTCATCTTTTCACACATCGTAAAATGTAGTATGACGTATTGGGCATTTGCAGGTGAAGAACTGCGGTTATCTTCAGGTTTTGTGCAAACAGGTGCAGGTTACATAGGGTTTTGTGGAATTTCTGCAGGGCTGAACTCATGGAGGGTCCTGTTGAGATCTTCAGCAAGTAAAAGAATACTTGCTCAATCATTTCTTTATTATTACACTGCTGAAAATGTTCAGTTTCCTAATGCTTGCAGTGTTTGCCTCCCACATTGATTTTTATCCCAAGATCCGATGGGATAACTTGGGCTAATTCATTCAGATTCAGCAGGATTTAAGAAAAGAAAAAAATCCCAAAAACATTTACAGCTTTAATGGCTGAGTTGCCCCACTCAACCAAGCCTTTATGTCTGTTTTGTTGAACTTTGCCTAGTTCATGATAATATTTTGAATCAGGATAGCTGCCCTCTTTAGTGTGCTGGAAAACTTTTGTATTTAAGTCTCATAATCACACTCAATGTGTAATCTTTTCTTCTTGCTCTGTGTCAGAGGTGATGCACGTTTAACTCTGCCTTGTCTGATATAACAGGAAGGGAAGAGGCTTCCTCACCAAGTAGGAACATTTAGATTATGCACACTCTATGCACTGTGCAGTGGCAACCAAGTGGTAACATAGACTCGGCCATGGTCTGGAGGTTTATGGGCTGCAGTCTCTGCCAGGTCTCCATCATTGTGGGGTTGATCAGGGTTCTTTGCTCCAGCCTGTTTAGTGGATGAGCCTCTAGAAGGGTTTGTTATATACTTCATGCATTTTGGCAGCACAGGCCTCAAGTAATACCCAGGGACCAAAGAATACGAAGTAAAATGGGGAGCCATTTAGCAGATCAGGCACTATGGGAAAGGCACTAGATCAACAGAGCTGAAGCTAAACTTAGGCATCAGCAATTGTGTTGCATTGTGCTTAAGTGCTCTAGAAACATCATGGAAATTGTTCTGCAAAGACCTGGCTTTGGGTTTCAGAGCTTACTGCTTTGGGATCTCCCACCACAAAATTTCTGCCATTCACTGGAAATCAGATGGACATATCCATACACTACTTCATTTTTGTTAATGAACTGTGCCAGACCCAAGCTGTCTTTGCTGGAGTCTAGTTCCCATTGCTCTGTAGTGGATAACCACTGAGAAAATTGAGAGCTGGCTCAGTTTGTTTTGGCAGTAAGTGTGTGTGGTAAGCACACATTAGTACCCCTATGCTTTTTAGTATCTACCTGGTAGACTTCTGCATCTTGTGATAATGACATGGCATTGTATACCACAGTATGTTACCATCTTCCTCATGACACAGCGCCCTTATCACTAAGATTAAGCTACTTACAAGTACTCTTTATTGTAAGATCAAGAAATACTCATTATAACCATCAAATACAAGAGGCTTAGGATAATTTGTTGCTGCTGCTGTGGGCTTTTAATGCTCTTGGAAGTGTTTAAACCAAAGAAGAATTGTGTTGGAAATTTAAAAGAATAGTATCTTTCGTCAAGTGAAGCCCTGAAAGGTACTCAAATTGGTATTAAAATCAAGGCTCTCATCAACTTTTATCTCAGTATTTGTGTACGTGTGTATTCCAGCATGTGATAGACTCCATACCATGTGTTCCAATGGACACCAACCTCCTATTGCTATTCCTTTTTAGCCCCTTCAGTTTGCATAGTTTTTAAAATATCACAAAATGACAGACTATTCTGAGTTGGAAGGGACCCACAAGGATCATTGAGTTCAACTCTTTAAGTGAATGGCCCATAAAGGAATCAAACCCACAACCTTGGCATTATTAGCACCATGCTCTAACCAATGTGCATTTTATGGAGTGGGAAATAAGGCAGAGAAGAAGGCTGTCACTCTGATGAGACTGCCTATTGTAGAAAGCCAAAATACTGAGTTGCGTAGTGTTTTGTGGGTTTTTAGCATTTTACTTGTTCAAGGTGTAAATCTTGGCGCTTACATACATTTATCAGTGTTCAGCATCTCTGCACATCTCACTTACAGTGTCTCTTGTCGGATACAAGAAGATGAGGAGCATTTAGTTGCAAGTATGGAAAGTGGTTAAAGTGACAAGTTCCCTAGGAGCACTAAATAAATCTAGAGATATCCATCTGCTCGCAATGATATCTAGCTTTTTTGTCCAAAAGTTCCCTCATTCAGTTATGTCTTCCAGTGTCTGACCTTAATGAAGTCAAGGTCTTGGAAGTAAACAGCATAGTTGTGTTCCACTAACAAGCTTCCCTCATTCAGTTATGTCTTCCAGTGTCTGACCTTAATAAAGTCAAGGTCTTGAAGTAAACAGCACCTCTATGCATAGTTGTGTTCCACTAACAAGACTTGAGCTCTTTTGCACCTCTGAGGAGGCAGGGAACTGGGGAAAAAATGCCATTTGATCACACAGGTGATAAAAAAAAATCCCAAAATCCTTAGCAAGGAGGTAGTATAGAACTTAGTTCTGACTTTTCCTAATATTTACACCTTCACAGGTCTTAGTGGCTTGATGTTTTTTCAGTGTACCTCTCAAGGAGTGTCAACATATTCTCAAGAAATAAAAAGCAAAATAGTTTCTCATGAGGGACTTCTACTGATCCCATATTGGATTGTGGGCAAGGTCTAGTCCTCCAGGTGCACAACACATCATTTCTATTATTAGAAATGTACTGATGATAGGCCAAACCCTTTAAATATTTCGAAAAACACAGAGAAAAAGGCATCAATCCAAGATAGGTATCCAAGATAAATTTTATTTTAATTTGTTTAATCTTAGCAAAATTAAAAGTTACCTAAGATAGATCTCATTTTAAGCAATCTTAATCTCATTTTGAGTAATCCTCAGTGACAATTGTGAATATTTTAGACAGACTAGGGGACATGGTGGAACTGCTGTGCTGGTGGCTTGCCCTCAGAGCTGAGTAATCCCCAGTATCCTTGGCAGTGCATCAAGCTGGATGCTGACTGCAAGGCAGAATGAAAAGAAGCTGTTTGAAGCTTTAGAGACGAAGAACTTCAGCATAGAGGATAATCCTGTTGTATGTCCAGGCACTCACTCTCAAACTATATATGATGTCCATAGCTGTGGAGAGCAAAAGCTGAGCAAATTCAGCCTGCTGGTCTTGCTGCTCAGATTTTCAAGTCCATCTTCACAATAGGAACATGTCAAAAATGAAACACTTAACGAAAATTAATTCTCAGGAAGCCTTTGTTGATATTTTGTCCTTCAGGGACCTGCATGACAGGTAACAAAATTAGCTAACTTTTTAAGAAGATGCAGAAACATCAGGCTGTGGCAATCCTAGCAAACAATGATACATAATGAATATATGTCTGTACATTTTCGTGTACACTCCTTAGGCTTGATCCTAGGAGCATGTTTAAATAGTGTGACGTGCGAGTCGCTATCTTAGACCGGATTCTGCTTGCATAAGGGCTGAGGGATACACCCTGTAAATACAGTTTGTTTGTAGAAGCATGTGTAACTTTGAGACCTCGATGTAGGGATGTTGTTGCCATTAAAATCTTGATGGTGGCTCTCCAATAATCCGTGTCTACTTGTTGGGTAAAAGAAACTTCATATTTTGAAGTAAAAGTATGGTATATACGTGCTTGTGCAGTGTTCTGTTATTGTGAGTGTATGAATAATCACGTAGATTCTCTGGTTAACATGTTTGTGTTTTGGGTTTTCTTCCAGAACTTTGTGCTGTCCTTTGGAAAGGAGACATTACAGACAACAGCAGTTACTCCAGAGTTTAAGAAGAATATGGATTATGTAGATTTTATCTATTTAAACATTTTAGAAAAGAAAGTTCTTAACAATTCTGAGGTTTCAGTTCAGTATTTATGTTCTAAGCCTTGTATTGTTAGTTTAGAAGCAGTAGCTTCCTCTGAGTTCAGGACTGGTGTACCAGTGTATAGAAGGAGATGGAAGGATGAGAAGAACCTTTATGTTAGCAGAACTCGACAAGTACACTTGAAATTTCCAAGCATCATGGTTTACAGAGATGATTATATCATGAGAAACTCAATAATAGTGCACAGTGTGATACTGTATGCATGGATTAGCCACAGATCAGCTGGCAACTATGGTGATGAGCAGAGTGAAGACTACCAGGCTGCAGTTGCCAAGAATTACACATTTTTAGAGGCAGTTCCACCCTTTGAACGGCCATATAAGGATCACAAAGTTTGTCTTCAGTGGGGTGCTGACTATTTGTGGATGCTCCAGGCCAATAGGATACCTCAGTGCCCTCATGAAACTGGTAGGTGCAATGCCACTTTTTTTCCCCAAGGAAACAAATAACATCTCTGGTAAAAAGTGCCTACTGGTAGTAAATAGTAAATATTACATACAGTGGTATACTTGGGAAGCATTGTTGAACATGTAATCTCCATAACTGTGAGGTTAGAGCTGCAAGTTTCTGAAGCCATCCTGCTCTTCAGATTGTTTCATCACAGCCAGCCTGAAGGCTGGTAGCAGCCTGGCCCCGTTTCCTAAGCATTTTCAAACAATTTTAGTCAAAACCCACCAGAGTCAGTGGACATCATTCCTTTATCTTCAGAGAGAGTTGTTCAGTCCCTTACTGCATTAGTTCAGAATCAGTTCTGCAGTTCATGTACACATACTTTTCACACAAGTGGTTTCCTTCTGCTTAAAATGATGGCCTCACACTCAGAAACATACATTCAAGTCTGTAGTGAGCTAAGCTTTACAACACCTCTTTTTTTCCCTAGAACCATGATGAACAAGCATTTTAGGAAAAAAAAAAGTAGTAGTTTTAAGTAAAAAATCATGTCTTGCCAACAGTATAGATTACAGAAACAACTTTGCTTTCTAGATTTTTTTAGGTTTTTTTTTTCTGCCGGCCTATCTCTAGCTTTACACTTGCTGACAGTTCTTTTGCTCCCAATGCGTGCTCAAGGCAGAACCTAGAAGGAAAAAGAACATTTGTTTCTAAATGGTTCTCTCTGAGAAAATCCCGTAATGGCATTTATGTCATTTATTTTCACTACACTGGTGTGTAAGTGCTGTGAAGAACAGGGAACATCTTGCTTCCTTTAAGGGTTTTCTAAAATACTTGTTTTAAACAGCATGTGATATCTGACAACACTGTGAAACATCTTATTTTCTGTATTATCTATTTCTATTCCCGATTAAATCAGTTTAATAGACTATAGAAGGAAATAATATTCAAATTTTGTTTCTTAAAATAATATTGTAACAAATTGCTCAGGGTTTGGTTGATTTTATTGTTTTCTTGGTGTTTTTTTGTTTGGTTTTTGGGTTTCTCTAGGCAAGCTGATGATATATCATGGCCTTGAAGATTTTTCTCCTGTTTCTCAGGAGGGGCAGCTTTATCAGTTTTATTACAGGATTATCCATATCAGTTAAGAGCATAATTGGTATCTATGCATACATGTAATATAGAGAGGCACAAATGGAGAGCAAGTCCAAGAGATGTGGAGAAACGTCACTTAGGCATAATTAAATATAGGATGAGATTTAAGTGAATGACATAAAGTAGGACTTCTCATTTCCTAACTGGTTCCTTAAGTATCTTAGATTTAAATAAGTCTTTTTTTTCCCTGCTTCTAATTCCTTCTGGAAACAGGCTCAATTTGACTTTTCATGGGTTATTGGTCCAAGACTGTAATGTATTTAACAGCAGCAAGTGAACTTGTGTCTAAGGACTTATTGAGAGTTTGTGTTAACTTTGAATCTGTTGTGTGCTTTAAATGTTTGACTGTAGGAATGTGAGCTAATTAATTAGTTTCTATGCTTTCTGTCTGTCAGATTAAGAAAGACTGTTTTTTGCAGATGGTGTCCAGGTTCTGGAATTTATATATGCTTCCAGTGGGGAAAAAACAGGAATTGTGAAGAAATTTGAACAGTTTGAAAACAGAGAACTTGAGACAGTCAGACAACATCAGATTGATTATCCCATGTAAGTATAGGCAAGTAACTGACCGGGGCTGTATTTGGTTTTTGAAGGCTATAGAATGTACTTAAACTCTTGGGCTTTACCACAAATTAAAGGAATACTGCCTACTAATTTCAGAAAAGATGCAAAAGGAGCCTAGTTAGCAGTTCCTTTTGATTCCAGTTTTGGACAGGCTTAGCTGAACCTCAGGAAGGTACTTACAGTATGTATTGGTGCAGTGCTGTATAAGAGATGCCACTGAAGGTTAATTGAATGGGTTAGGTACAGTTAGGAGGGTGAGTTAGCTGTTGTTACCGGCTGTCATGATCAGACTGCTGTCTCATGACTATCTAACCTGGGGTTTTCTACATTACAAACAGATCTGCATTCCTAACATTGTTTGCAGACCAAGAGCAGAGTAGGATTTCCTGCAAGGGCAAGCAGCATGAAGCATCTTTAGCCCTATAAATTCCCACTCTAGTTTATTTTGTACCTGACAAGCAGCTAGATAGAGTCCTGTACCTAGATAAGTCTTCCAGCTTGAGCTCACTCCATTTCCTTCTACCATTGCTGTGTAAACTTTCCTATTTAGACAGGAGTACAACTCCTTAGTCCCTGCACACTGTTCAGTTACAGAGGAATAGCTCTTGTAAGGTCATCTTGCTCTGCTCTGGTCCCCCTTCCCAAAACTGTCACAACCCTCCAGTCATATTTTGCAACTTCAGGGGTAAAGAGATACATAACTATACCTCCCTTCCACCAGATGCTCTCACCCTGGCAACATTATTACAGATGTAGGAAATAATTACATGAACTAGAACTTGCCTGCTGGTTTGCATTTGGCCTGCGGCCTCAAGAAGAGTGCCAAGATGACTTGCCAAAGAGCACAGGTTGCATGCAAATTACTAGCTCTCAAACCATAACTGAAGCCATACAGAGCAGTTTTTAGCTCCTGGTCTCTTCTGGATGTGTGGCAGCCTGCTGCTCTTTGCTCACCAACACAATTGCATTCTGCTTCTGACACGGAGGTACTTAAGCTTTGGTGTAGAGTATATGGCATGAATTTATGCATCTTTTTATCTGCTCCACATAGTTCTTGCCTTCAGGTGATGTCTTCAGTGTGTTATGTGTTGTGGTTGTGTGACAGCCTGGGGTAGTTCTGTTAGGAAGAGGAAGAGAGTTCTTCTCTTCAGTTCTTTTTCAGTTCTGTGTATGTGAGCAGTGGTTCCCCACTGTACAAAAGGTTAACAGAAGTAGATTAATCTAACTGAGATACTTGTTTGGCTTCAATCAGGGATTTGTGAAGAAAGATACATGACTGTTGTTTGAGCCTGCAGCAGGGACAGGCTGGGACTGTAAGGGACTGCTCATGCTGTTTGGCATTTTGCAGCAATGGGGATATGAAATGAGTCAGCATTGTCCCAAACTCTGTCCCAAGAAATGTATCCAGAGCAAACACAGTTTCAGACTGGCAATCAAGGATTAAATGGAGACTGAGGCATTTGAGTTTGCCTCTGTCTTGGCAGAGATGAAAGTTGAAAAGAGCAGTATATAAGCATGAACACACAAGTAGTATTTCTAGAAGCACAGTGTTTGTCTGTAGGTTCTAGCAATCAAGTGATTGTCATTTACAAACCTTTCTACCTCACACATGTACCATCTCTGGAGAAAATGGTGTTATTAGCTGTTTAAGGCATAGTTTCCATTAGGGAAAACTTAATCACCCTTCATTTTTTTAAAGCAGGAGAGCAGGTGTTAGGCTTTCAGATCTACAGTGATTTAGTTTAGGAAAATATACAAGGTACTTGTGTTAAGGAATTTTTTGAGAGAGAAGCAAGGCAAGCTGAGCCAATCCTAAAGTATTATAAACAAAAATTAATCATTTTTATTAATTACAGAAATGCAAAAACTGACTATCTCTTTCTAAAACTCACTAAGAAAAGTGAACTATTTAATCAGATATGATAATAATTATTATGCTTTGCTGAGTTGTACATTGGAAGTACGATTTTCAAAGTCATTCAGCATTGACCTAACTGCTGTGGCAGTGTTACAGAAATAAGTGTGATCAAATTTCTGTTAAGAGCATGGAAGCAGATTTAGTCTGGCACAGAGGAACTCCTTAAAATTAGATGTTGTGGTATAAATTCTGCTTTTAGTGCCTCAACCAGGTTTGAATAGAAATTTCTAAGTACGTAGTGCTGTTGGTGTTCGGTTTTTTATTTTGCATGTTCCATAGTTTGCAGAGGCTCCACCTTTATTTATCCTGTGGTACTTCTGTGAAGCTATTCATACCTATCTGTACTGTCCAGAGGATGGATTCATTTTTAACTGCTTCTCCCGAGCATATTTTCACAGTTCACTTGTAGTACAGAAGGCAGGGCTTATAGTTTTTACTGGCTTTGACAATCAAGATGAAAGACCATGCATCTGGGGGTTTGGTACTAGAGTCTGTGTGGGGGAGGTTGGCTCCAGTTTGTCTTGATTGTGTTCTCAGTTCCTTGGTGGTGTAGGATCTGGAAGTAGCTCTGACCTGGTATTCTGGAATTGATTCAGATAACACTTCCTTACTCTCTTCTCCTGTTTGTTACCACAAAAGTCTGTGGTTAGAGATCAAAGATCCAAGAATCTTAAGTGTGGTTTTTCTGAAGATTTTTACTGTAGAGGATGTGTTCTATTCTAAAGATTACATGTGTGACACAGGTTTGCTAAATTAAAGTGAAATGCATTCTTTTCTATATAGAGAGCTTTCTCATCAGGAGTGGATTTTTTGTTTGTTTTTGCTCATACAGGTTCACCATTTCAATCTGGCTATATCTACTCCATCACTGTGAAAAAGATCTGTGTGGTATACTCTATTTTATTGATTCAAAAGAAATGTATGGTACTCCTGCTGTATTTCTAAATGAGGAAGGTAAGGGATATTATTAATGGCTTTCAGAAGAGGTCTAATACAGTCTTTATTGATCTGTGCCTAGGAATAACATTTATAAAAATATATTATGAGACCTATTTTGTGAACTGATCCCTTGCAAAATGCTTCTTTTTGACTATAGTGTCTCAGTAGGAAAGTGGCCACTAAATTTACAGGAGAAAATGTAGTAGTTGTGTAGCATCTAATCTTCGCTAACTTCAGAAATGTCTGCTTTGTCAGGAGAATAAGGTGTATCTTACAGCCAGGAACATACACTGAGATTAAAATGTCTTAACCTCAATGAACAAACTTTCTTATTATTACTGAAGTGTTATTTTAAATTGATCTTAATTCCTATATATATACAACATGAAAATTTTTGATAATTGGAAGTAGCCTCAGAAAAAGTCAAAGTCATTCAAGGTCTTGCTTACATTGCAATGTTCAAGAACCAGTCTGTTTCCCTGATCCAGAAGAAAACACTGTCTTAGTCTTGCAACACTTGCAGTGGGGGTCTGTTTTTGTCAGAAGAAGGCTGGGAGCTGGCTGGCAGGCTCACAGAGGAAATAACCATGCAGAATTTTAAAAGTGCACACCTGGCAGTCTTATAATACTTTTTTTTTCCTCCTTCTTTGCAAGTTTGACAACTGACCTCTTCCTCTCTGTTATTTTTGTCATTTTCATTTTCTCTGTCATGTAGCCAATTTCAATAATTAATTTATCCACTATAAACTGGATGCTTTTTTTGAAGAACAGAAAAAAAAAAAAAAAAAGAAGTTATCAGCTTAATATGAGATTTTTTGAAAAACAAAAAAAAAAAAAAAAAAAAGGAAGTTATCAGCTTAATATGAGATCTGCCTTGTGAGGTTTTAGGGCCTGTTTTATTCTCAGTGTTAGCCTAGATTATAGTAGCCTGTTCAGGTCTTAAAGGCTCAGACCATGAGTATAACTTCTTCAAGTCCAAAAAGTGGAGAGTAGAGTCATCTTGTACTTGATCATTGCAGTCACGTGCCACCAGTTGAGTGCTGAGTGGATGCCATTTTTTACTGGTCCCTTCTGCTCTTTACTGCAAGTCACAACTGCTTTCTGATGTTTGAGATCAACTGTGACAAGTCTCCCGTAGGTTTAGTCTGTTTAACCCTGGTTTTCAGCCTGTGGTTTCATGTGGGAGCCTGAGCATCAGCATCTGAGATGTGTAACTGAAGCGTGGAGCACTGTCTGTGGGACTCTTTGAGAGCTGATGTATGGCTTGGTGAGTGTCAGATTTCTGTTGTTGGTGATGAAGAGGATGAAGAGGACAGAATCACTGTGAACAACGCGTTAGTAAACCCATTCTTGCTGTTAATGTTTCTGTGATATTTATTTTTCATTTTTCTTCCTTTTTTACTCTCAGGTTATGTGCATATTCAGATGCATCTCATGAGAGGAGATGACCTTGCAGTGAAAACTAGCTTCAGCCTTCCTCTTAAGCAGTGGTTTCGACTGGATCTCTCCTTTAAGGGTGGACAGGTATGCTTGCTACTGAATTACAAACTGACAAACTCCTTAATAGCTGACGCTGAGAGAAACACTGTAAACTGTATATGGTCACATAGCAAAAGAATGAAAAATCTAAAACTAGGAGTTGTGAGGGGATGTTCAGATCATCCAGCTTTGGAAAATCAACTTTGATTGATTGAGTTGGATTGAGTGCACACTCAACAACTTTTCTAACAACAAGATGTGGGGTGTTGTTGAGATGCTGGAGGGAATGGATGCCATCCAGATGGACTTGGACATGCTTGAGAGGTGGGCCCATGTGAGCCTTGTGATGTTCAACAAGTCCAAGTGCGAGGTGTTGCACCTGGGTCAGGGGAATCCCAGGCACAAACATGGGCTGGGCAGAGAGTAGATTGAGAACAGCCCTGGGGAGAAGGACTTTGGGCTGTTGATCAACAAGAATCATTGAATCATTAAGGCTGGAAAATATCTCAAAGATTATCGAGTCCAATCTTTGACCAAACAGCACCATATCAATTAAAACCACAGCGCTGAGTGGCACATCCCCTTGTTTCCTGAACACTTCCAGGGATGGTGACTCCACAATTAACATGGGCAGCCTGTTCCAGTGCTTGACAGCCCTTTCAGTGAAGAAATATTTCCTAACATCCAATTTAAACCTCCCCTGGAGCAACTAGACTGTGTAATAAATGTACCCTATAACATTTCTTTTTTTGTAATTAATGTTTTGTGCTCTTTTAGATCGAAGTAAGCAGTGTTGGGAAGAATTTGAAAAGATATCATCATCAATCTTTTACGTAAGGAGCATTTTCCCATTTTTGGAGTAATATGTGTGTATGTTCAGATACAGAGAATGGGAGAAGGATAGCACAAGTCTGTAACTGGGATTCTAATTGATTTTGAAAATGTCTGTGGTCTTTTTCTACACTATGCTTTCAAAACCAGTTTGCTTTACTGTGCTTACATTAAGCATGAGCTGAATATTTTTGTTAATGCCATGAGTGGTGCATGATCTAGTGCTACTAGAGTCTGATAACCCTCACTAAAAACTGATTGGCAGGTCAGTGGCATTAAGGTCAGTCTTAAAATGAACTTTTGGCTTTACTGAAGTCTAGTTTTACTGTTGCTGTGAGAGGTAGTATTTCACCAGGGAAATTCTTACTTGCTTTGCTTAGTTAGAGAGCAAAATTTCTACCAAAAGTATTCGCACTCTGTCCTTTATTCTATGCAACTGTATATTTTTTAAATCGGTTTTTAATTGTTTTCTTTCACTATAATTTAAGATGGACTCTTTCTTGTGCAAATAATTTAAAAATACCACTGTTACAGTGAACTGCATGTCAGACTTCAGGATTGTTCCTTCTCTGCTGTGCTTTAAATTCAGAAATTGATAATTTGCAGATGATAACTCTAGGAGACAATTTAAATTTTCATATGCTGATTTTAGAAAAGTGAAAGGGAAAGGTGAAACAGAAAAAAATTAGCTTAAGTAATGATGTATAAAATATCAAGATACTTAGAGGTCAGAAAAATAAAACACCCCTGCTGGTTTAATATGTTTGTAGACAAGGAATTTGTTACATTTACTCCATAATTTGTCACACTAAGTTGCAGAGTCAAATTTTAGAATAAACACATGACAAAAGAAAAAGATACTTGGAATAAGCTTAGGACCATCAGTTGTAGAAATTCTGAGAAATACTAATTTCTCTTTCTTCTTTCACAGTACCTCTAGATAGTCAGCTTACTTCTCTTTCATGTTCTCAAGTTTTAGGGAAGATTTCTATTATGATGACACTGCTGGATACTTTGTTCTTGGAGGCAGTGGGTACGTAAATGGTATTGAAGCTTTCTTTGGACCTGTGAAATACTATCGCCTCAATGTGTTGGAAACAGAACAGGTAAGCAGAAGCACTACTTGGAAATGCTGAAATATTAGCAGCCAACTGTGATATATTTTATTTTTTCAGATGGAGTGCTCATCAAGTGATAAACTAGCTATGAAGCACAGTAGTATCTGGGTATATATGTCATATATGATAATTTTCTGTTGAAATCTAGCAATATTAGTTACCATTTCAAATGCTAAAACATAATACTTCAGAAAGTGAGTGTAAAGCAGTGTTTGTAGATCTATATTTAATAATATAGATATCATTGTAATAATATAATATATATTAAATATATTAAATATTTTCACTATTGCTTTGTTCCCAGAGTTTCTGATGATACAGTGTTGGATATATTTGATTAATCTGTAGTTTTGATGAAACTGGTGGTAAAAGTCACTTGGGTTTGGTCAGTTTTAGAAATTCATCTGTGCTTTTGGATTATGCTGACCATTTAAATAGACAGTGGTCTACTGGGGCCAGCATCAGGCTGTCTGACACACTCATGTGGTGTGCCAGATAAGCTGATTGTAGTGAACAATCTGTTTCCTTTTGTTATTTGTGTACAATGCATCTTTCTAGCTGAGCATACACGACAACAGATACTGGGGATGCCATTTATCCATCATTTGACTTTTTACAGATTTCTAATCCTCTTCATGACAAAGACACAGTGGAACAAATTGAACTTTACTACGAGAGATGTATGGACATTCAAGAAATCGTTTATGATTACAGATATATTGTAAGGCAAGGCGAAAAAACACACAGAAGTTGTAAGTGTTAATCTATGACGTGAATTTTAAACTGTCATCTTTGGAGATCTGTTTTCTTTCCTTTAACAATCTGGATATTGATCATCAAAAGTAAAACTAAATTCAGCCATAACAAGAAAAAAATGCAATTCGATGAGTTTAGTCTTATTACTGGTAGCTAAAACTCGAGTTTTGTCCCTGCAAATACTTTTGTGTCATGGAATAAAAACTTAAATCATCTTAATATGTCTTATCTAATAAGACAGGTGCCTAAAGGGACAAAGAAATACTCTCAAACTTTCATGTATGCTGTGCAATTGTCTTTCTTCCATTTCATTTTCAAAATGACCCTAAAGGAAAATGGGTGGATTTGGCTAGAATGTTTCTGCCATAATTGTCTAACATTCAGTAATTAACAGGTTTCTAAAGTGACCACTTTGGTGAAAGGAGAATGTCATAGCTTAAATGTGTGCTGAAAACTAGCTTATGTTTCTAATTTGAATTCAATTGAATGTGTTGTGACCAGAGTATGGAGAAGAAATCTAAATGTATTTGTAAGTGGCTGTGCTAGCTGGGTGAGTTTCAGATTTGTGTAAAGGTGTGCTCATCTTGTCCATGAATTTTTAGTTTACTAGAAAAAAATTTTTTCTGTCAGAAACTTCTTTTCAAGACCAAAAAGTCAGCTTTCATGTCTTAAATATGTTGCTTTCTCTAGGTTACTATGAAAACTATTATTTGGAGCTGATTCACAAGTATGGAGAAAAATCCAAATGTGATGCTTTCATGTGGGGAAAAGAGCTCAGGGAAAAGTACCACACTTTGTTCAGACTATTACATGAGATGGATTTCAGTAGTCCAGATGGTAACCATGTTTCTTTTTTAAAATTGTTCTTGAATAACTCAACAATATTTGTTGTGTAGTTTAGTATCATTTGACTTAATGTGTTATACATTTTTTTTCATATTAGCTTACTTAATAAAGGAGTGTTAAGTGGCTTATATGCAATATGATGCAAATGGAAGGACGGCTTATTAGGTAGAAAGAACCATAGAAATATCCTTATGTTTTTAGTTGTTAGTTACTTTGAGATGGTCTTTTGGACTTTTATTCACCCTTCATATTGAGTAATACCTTATTTCTCTATAATTTTGTCTGCATTGAGAATACCATTCAGCTTGAGAAATAACAGAATCTATTATTCAGTTTCTGGGGAAATTGGTTCCTAATTTTAACTCTTACAACAACTGTGTGTTCTATATTTTATTTTTGGTGTTAGAAGATGGAAGTGATACAGTTGTAGAAGTTGGCCGGAGGATATTTGAGAAGGTTGTGAAAGGTCTGTCCAGTGCCAATGGCCTCAGCAATTTGGGCTCCTCTGTCCCTCTCCTGGTGGATTCCAGTTGTTGTGGATACCATAAGGCTTCCTATTTCCTTGCAGTTATATTTGAAACAGGCCTCAGTGTGCCTGTGGATCGTATAAAGGTACTATGTTTAACATGTGCTGTTATGTCTGTGAAATTAATTACCTTTAAGGACCTTTAATTACCTTTTAAGTTAATTACCTTTAAGTTAAAAAATGGGATGATCCCTTGAATTAAAAAAAGTGAAACGGCCCTCAGATCCAGGTGGTTGAAGGATTCTCCAATAAAGCTACTAATAAATACCTTGATGGCAGTGATATCTTTATGAAGACCTGATGGTGGGAATCTTTATCCTGCTCAAGCAGAACAAGGACATCAGTGATACAGTGAAGATCTGAAAATGGTAGTAAAGTGAACAGCATAGAAAGTACTGCTTTTCCTAGTCACTGTGGAGCCCTTGAGTCACCCACAGTCATTTGAAGACAGGTAGGAAAAAAGTCCTAGATCAGGCAAATCGAAATTGGAAAGGTTGCATAGTACAGTCAGGAAAGAAGTCTGATTTTAGAGTGTGCAAAAATGGGACACTGAGTATATTATGGTCAAATGAGCAAGGGTAACCAAAGTAGAACAGTTTTCTTCTGTAAAAAAGTAACTGTGTTTCAACTGAGCAACTGCAGAGTTTGAGAACTCCTGACCTCTTAGGCGGCTTGCAAATAACTGAAATGTTTCAATGTGTTCTAGGTCAAATAAAGGGAAGGTGTCCATATGTCAGGAAGAAGACAACACTAAAATTGCCAACAGATATTTAATTGTGGTATAATAGTAAAATATAAAACACTTATAAAGAATAGCAGATCTGTCTGTTGTGGTTAGAGGACGCTAAATCAGAGTAACCTCTTACAGGCTAATCAGAGACAAAGCTCACCTGCAATTCTTCAAAAACAAGAAACCTTAGACAAGAACCTTTTTTATACCCTAATTATAGAGTATACAGTGCTTATTATGGAGGCTAAGTCATTTCATCATTGAAGCTGCTTCAGGTGGTGTAGGAAACAATTTAATATCCAGCACAGATGGGACACCACTGGTTTTCTCACTGTGCAGGTGAAAAATAATAGTAGTGCTGAAATTTTTTTTTTTGCAAATGTGTGTTGCATAGACCAATTAACATGTATCTCAAGGGAGATTTGTGCTGAAACCTTATCAGCCATAGATTCCATCATACTAGTCCTGTCAGGTCCCTAGGGTAAGATTCTCAAATGCTGTTTGTTAGCTTCCATATGTTTCCACAGAATTCAGTGTGAAAACTCCAGCTGGCATCACTGGGACTAGTTAAGGCACTGCTGGGTATAAGAAGTGTCAGAGTGTAAACAATGCTGTAGTAAAATGACATTAAAAAACTGCTGCACATTTAGTGATGGCAGAATAAATGCAATACTTGAAAAGTATTTAGAGCCTAGTTTTTCTTTCCAGTGTTTCTGTGCAAACATAAGACACTTTGACTACTTTATGGGCTGTGTTTGCTTCTGTAACTGTGTTTACGTAATATAGCTAGTATATCAGCTACCAGTATGAACATTCTGTTCCCTGTAAATTTCCTGGGAAGTGCTTAACTTGTGAAATGTGCAGTGAATTCACTCTTGTTTATGTCTGTTGATTTTTGCCAGGGACTGCTATATAGTTTGGTTGGTGCTCAGGGGAACGAGAGACTTTCTGTGATGAATCTTGGCTATAAACATTACCAAGGGATTAATAACTATCCGCTTGATTTGGAGCTGTCATATGCTTATTACAGCAATATTGCAATAAAGACATCCCTGGATCAACACAATATAAAGGGGGAACAGGTAAAAGAATTATAAGTGAATTTTTTTCTGTGCAAGTTATTTTTCATATTCATATTATGTAGCCAGAATATTTTTGTATTGATTTACAAATATTGGATCATCTAGTTATTTTTCATATTCATATTATGTAGCCAGAATATTTTTGTCTTGATTTACAAATATTGGCTCATCTGATTTGTGTCCATGCCCGTGGCAGGGGTGTTGGACTAAATGGTCTCTAAAAGTCCCTTCCAGCCTAAATCATTCTATGATCCAATGATTGTAGGTATAAATTACATGTAGGTATCATTACTGTGTTTCTGAGGAAGGGCGAATCAAAGTCAATATCAGACTCAAATCCTCAGAATTGTCCACAAGCCTGTTTTTTATTAAAGTCCAAGCCTTATTCTTGGCCACTGAATCCTCCCTCAGATTTTTAATTATTAATATAATTGGATGTGTTTGTTAAGCAACTGATCTGCTGTTTCAATAGACAGACATCATGAAGTTCCTGCAAAAGATGAATTGTCCTCTGCATGCTTTAACCTTTTCTATAATCAAATGTAATGACTTGGTCGTTAAATAGTTATCTGATAAAGTTACAATAAAATCATTTTAGAATAGGCTGCTAACAGGAGGTAACACAACTTTATTTGTAAAGAATAGTCAAGGTAGGCTAGTGCTAGAATCCTGGCTTATCAGAAAGCATGATTATTGTACAAAAACAGAGAGGTTCTAATTGCTGAAGAACTAAAAGCTAGCAGACTTACCTAGATAAGAGTGCTGTGGGTCAGGTCATCGTCAAGCTTTCTGCCAGTCTTTTTTTAATCTTTTGAAAGTGATTTCTATAGAAATATTAAAGCCTAAATAGAAAGACTTAAATACACTTCTTTGTCATTTTTAAGTGCATTTAAAACCAAAATGTGGTTTGGGGTTTTTTTTTAAGTTGTTAGTGTCTTGGCATATCTTTTCAGTGTAGAATGGACTTACAGTTTTGGAAAAAAAGCAGTAAATGTTTTAAATGTTTTTTTTTTTTTTACAGTGGATGTCAGAATAGTTCTTAATGCACTGGCCAACAGAGGAGAGATGAGAATTTTAAAATCCAGAACTGATCATGAATTTTTAGGATTAAGCAGGAAATGGACAACATTTTCATTTTGGTAGCAGATGTAGAAATTCATTGATATTCATGTGGAAGTTAATTTTTTTCTGTTCACTTACTCTCCAGGCATTTGTTGAAACTATAAGACTGATGGATGATGAACTGCTAAAATCTCAAACAAAAGAAAATGGTGATGTCTTTATGTGGTTAAAACATGAAGCAACAAGAGGAAATGCAGCTGCACAGGTATAAAGCAATACATTTCCCCATTTTTGGTTTTATATACAGTCAGGGGTGTACATCTGTAGACCATGTAGGAAAGTTGCAGAGGAGAGCAGACAGACTTTTCTACTTCCACCCAGAATTGCTTCTTTTTTTCTGAGACTATTTCTCATGTTCCTGTTCAATTATATTCATGCAAAAGCCATAACAATGATACAAGGCAGAAGGGAAGAGTCTTCAAGTCTTGGCAGCCTCCTTCTCTGTTCCTTTTCCATGGCTTTGTATTTGATACATTGCAATTACTGCTGCTGATCTGAGACTAGTAGCAGTATATTGTAATACTGAGCCATTTACATGCATCAAATCTGTCTGTCACTTACCTCTGCACTTAAATCAATCCAGACTCTATGATACTGACAGCTGTAAAAATAAGCCTGCTGTAGAGTTAGTACAGTCCACCACTGAAACACTCTGAATATTCCTGTTAACCAGTTGTTTTCAAACTGTTGAGGGTGTGTACTAGTTTCTTCTCATATTTGAAATGCATCTAAGCCTGCAAAAGTCTGTTCCTGCAATTCCAGTTTCAATACTAGCATTTATAGCTTTACTATTTAAGTTGTTTTCTTTTAGCAACGTTTGGCTCAGATGCTGTTTTGGGGCCAACAAGGAGTGGCAAAAAATCCTGAAGCTGCAATAGAATGGTATGCAAAGGGTGCAATAGAAACAGAAGATCCAGTGTTGATATATGATTACGCCATTGTGTTGTTTAAGGTAAGTCATATTTCATGTTTTCACTTCAAAACAGCCGTTCCTTTAACATGATGTTTTAAGTTATCAGCAGTGACCTATGGTAAGAGTGTATGCAAATGCTTCTAGATTTACTCTGAAAATCAATCAATAGGTATGAAGCTAATGTTGATTTTTACCAAAAAGAGGCACAAAATTTTAAAAAGAGCAAGTTAAAAATAATCTTACTTTATTCCTATCTATATTCAGGATCAAAATACCACCCAAATTCTGGATCCTAATTTTTCCTAATGTCTTGTCACCTCAAGAATCCAACCAACTAGTAGGCATAGGCTTTGGTGTAGAGGTGTAGGTAAAAGTTTGAGCCTTTCCTGGAATGCACTGTATTAGGATTTTTTTTTAAGTTGGAATTAAATTATCGCTGCATGCAGTTAGTTTTTCCCTGCCAGAAGCAGTATACAGAAGATGCTAAACTGAAGTATGACCTCAACTGAGTCAAATAAGGTGTGTCAGCTAAGTGATGTCACCTATAAGACATTCAAGCACTAAAGCTTAGGTGGTGAGGAACTGTTAGGTCTTCATCTCATTCCTTTGACAGTGGAGGGTTTTTCTCTAGAAAAGGCTTGCTTAAGTTTTGCTTGTGGTAATTTTGAGCACACATAATCTGTTTTACCTGTGTCTGGAATTATTTTATGTGGACATCATAAGCATTACATCTGTGTATTTCCTCTGGAGACACTCTAACATTTTTTTCAGGAGAGCTGAGAGCTCTTGCTCGCTGCCAAACTGTGCACAACCTATGCCCCTTTAAATGCTATATATTCTTACTTAGTTGCTCAGACTTAAAGATCTGTGATATTATTTACCCACAAAAATCACTTGAATATACTGGTGAAATAATTGTTTCTAGACTGAATCACTGAGATTTTGTAAAGCTGTGAAGGAAGGGTGAACACAAAGCTGCTTGTTTTGTTGTAACTGTTTAAAGCTGAATGACACTTAGTAGGTAATGGTATCAATATTAAAAGGCATTTTGGATGTGCATAAGTGAATTTTTATCAGTCTGCATTTTTAAACAATGATTGTTTCACTTATCTGTTTCCTAGGGTCAAGGTGTGAAAAAGAATATAAAACTCGCACTGGAATTGATGAAGAAAGCAGCAGCAAAGGTAAAATGCAATAAATATTTTATTGGAGTAGTTCTGTACTAGGTGCTAATAACTATGATTTATATAAAATGCCTATTACCATAATTCTGTCATACTGCTTGCTTTTTCCAGTGTTATCACCATGAATGATGAAAGCCTTATTTGCCCAAGTTGGGAGAGCAGACCACTGAAAATCTGCCAAAATTTCTGTGAAAGAAAAAAACATTTCTCTACTTACATATTTTGGAACTTGATGTTAGTTAAGTGACTTACAGACTGAATATTTGATCCAGGAGTATGTTTTTGCCTCATATTCCCAAGCATTAAGGGAGAAGACCTGGATGTCCCAAAGTCTCCTGATTTATTTCCATAGTTGGGAGAAACACTAAGCACCACAGAGCAGAGGAGCCTCACTCCATTTAATGATTTAGGACAGCCAGGTTACCCAGGCCATGATCTGGTCCTTAGAATAAAAATGAAAGAGTGCCTAGACCTTGAATGCATTCCTAGCTCTTAGAAACAGAATTAGTTAAATTACTGGTTTTGACAGCAGCACTTGACTGGTGATCACTATCAGAAAATATTTGTGCCAATTCTGGGATTCCTTTGAAACAGGAGAGACTATCTGTTCTACTGCCTGTTTGGGAGAGGCTTAAATAAACTGAAAGGCTTTTATGATGTGATCAAAATACCTTTGATTCAGGATCTGAGGAACAGCTTCCTAGAAGACTCCTAGAGACATCAATTTCCTTACTCTCCTTGCAGTCAAATACTTGGGCTCTTAGGCTCCAAAGCACCTTTTCTATACAAAACCAACATCGTAATTATTGAAAAGTTTAACGGCTTTTGCATTTTAATGTTCAAGTTAGTAACATTGCTGGCATACTTACAGCCCCATATGATCCACTAGTTTATGCAAGGAAGTGGCGACTCATTACAACAACAATAAAAACTGTCTCAAGATTTTCTCTTGAGCCAAGATGCAAAGATGCAACTTAGTAAGTAGCAATAGCAATATCTTAAGCTGATCGGTATGATGTTGGTGAAATGCCTTTTGAAAGTAGCATTATAAAGTTCTGTGCACATTGCTTTCTATTTATTCTCAAGGAAATGTTCTAGTTTAAAAGTGGGTTTTTTGATTGCTAATCCTGTCAACCAGTTTCTGGGAGTTCACAAGAACAAGTGTCCTGTTTGGCTTTGAAGAGGAGACAGGGGAAAAATAGTCACAGTTTGTTCTTGTCAACAAGTGAAAGTCACGGCTGAGACTCTGTAGAATAAGATGCCACTGGAGTCTTATTCCTCACTCTATATACAAGGCCACAGAGAAAAGTAGTGGGGAAAAAAAAAGCTTTATAACCCCTAGTCCCAGAAGTGACAAAAAGCAGAATCAAATGTGTGACCTGAGATTGCTCTTCTCCTTCCCTAAGGGCTTGCCCCAGGCAGTGAATGGATTAGGATGGTATTACCACAATTTTAAAAGAGACTACAGAAAAGCAGCCAAGCACTGGTTAATTGCTGAAGAATTGGGAAATCCAGATGCATCATACAACCTTGGTGTCCTGTATTTAGATGGGATTTACCCTGGAGTACCTGGTAGAAATCAAGTGAGTAAATATTGAATGGTACTATGTCTTACATTAGGGCCCAACTTAGAAGTTTTTGCCTCATTCTTGAGATTGCTCTGTTCACCCTAAGTTAGAATTTGATACCTTTTATCATAAAGGAGGATTTTTCTGGGGGATTCAGTCAGATTGCTTAGGGAGAGAGATGTTGCTCAGGTATTGCTCAGTCAAAATTGTATGCATGTGTTTGTATTATTTTAATTTAGAAACAAAACAGGTGCAGGTTTTACTCCTTCCAGTGACAGCAGCCAGGAAGGATAGTGTGTGCTCTCACATCATGTGACCTTTTGGGTTCTCAGTTTTGGATTGGAAAGTTTATAGGGAAGGGATTCCACAGTAACTGAAAGAAGCACAACCTTGTCCCTGAACCCGTGAACAGCTATGCTATGTTCACACAGCTTCTGTGAGCCTCAGAACTGCAGTGAGAGGCCTCCAGTCCAGACTTGGAAATCTAACTATTTGATACAGTCCTGGTAGAAAGCAGTATTTTGTTTTTCTGTGACAGAACCCATTAACATATGTGCAAAATAAATTTTCCCCTAATAGGAATGGTCTACTTTATTTATATTTCTTTTAATTAACTTGGAAGTGTATGAACAGCAGCAAAAATGTAGTGAGGTAGACTGTAATAAATGTCGTCAGCTAAAAAATGTTTCCAGTGTGGCCTTTGAGTTCTGAGATCTGGATATACTCCAGACAGTGAGCATTTCTGCTGTCAACAGCAGCAGTGCTCACCAACATGTGCATCTGGCAAACACATTTTCCTTCCCCAGGGACAAAAAAACACGTTTCTGAGTGGACTGATTATAAGAGGACACCTAAAATTGCCCAGGTTTCTTTATTCATCAAAACCAATGGCAAGAAGGAGTGTGTAGTCTGTGCTCACTAACAGAAAGCATATATTGATGGTTTAAAATTTCCTGAAATAAATATTTTGAGTTGTATGCTGGGTTTGGTTTACTTTACCAGTTACTGTTCCTGAGGGTAAAATGTGGAGTCACACAGCCTTCCCACTTCTGTAGCTTTGGCCCTGCTTACTCCATCTGTGTTTTTTATAAACCAGTTTCAAAGATTTGAGCACTGTAGTTGTGGTCTGCTGAACATACAGAGCATTGCTGCTGCTCCACAGCCTTCATTTGGCATCGCAAGTTCTGTTCTCCAGGATGCCTTAATAATCTTCCTACTAGTGAATAACTAATTTTTTGTCAGTGCATGCAAGACTTTTGTGTTAGCGAGTGTTAGTTAAGCATTTGGACACTTTTCTGTTTGATGTTCCATATATTACCTGAGTATATGTTTTCTAAAACTTTCTCTAGCCTAAACTATTAAAAATTAAGAATAATTCATTTCATCTAAGTACTCTAACAGTAGTTAAATTATCTTACCCTCATTAGCCAGCTACCTAGTTTTATTCCTTTGATGAAAAGAGTCCTGAGGAAGAAATCTCAATAAAGATTAATAATGAAGAGTTGCTAATTATGTTTTGTTTCTTCACAGACAGTTGCTGCACGCTATTTCTATAAAGCTGCCCAAGGAGGACATATAGAAGGGACTTTGCGATGCTCTCTGTATTACATCACAGGAAATATGGAAGACTTCCCTAGAGATCCAGAAAAAGCTGTAATGTAAGTAAGGAAACAATTTATAAAAGGAGAATATATTTCTGATATGATTATTTTGATTCTTGGTGATTTTTAAGTCCATGGCTTAAATACCTTGTACTTCACAGTGCTTACCTCTGTGGCAAAAGGTTCTTCTGCAGTAATATTTGATCTGCATGAGTATGTGTGTTATGTAGATGACCAGTAGATTTTAAGAGGTATTGAGTGCTTTTACTTCTTTTTTTTTTCCAGAACAACTCAGAGAGATTGTATCGAACAACTCTGAAAGGTTTTATCTAACAAAGCCTCACTATTTTTTTATTTTCAAGAAATACTGGTGATGTGGTAGAATTGGCATTTTGCATCAAAAATAGGCAGATATTTATTGATAGCACCTATTAACTTACGTTTGTTTTCTTAGAAAACATGGCTGAGAAAAAAATATAGGATGTCTTTAATACAATTACAGAGATAAATGAACTTATGTTCTCAGTCAGTTGTCACAGGATTGATGCAGTGACTACTGTTAAATCCCATAGTTTGTCTTACAGAAGTCAGATGGTGATCCCATATCCTTTTGTGTTCTTTGAGTCTACGTGAGTTGGGATAACATTACTGGAGCATGACCATTCATTTTTTGTTTGTTCTATTCCACAGCTGGGCAAAACACATTGCAGAGAAGAATGGCTACTTAGGTCATGTAATCAGAAAAGCTCTCAATGCTTATCTGGAGCTTTCATGGTATGTTTCTTCCGTTCTCTGTATTTTCTATTTTTCACTTACTTTATAGCAAGATAAAATAATTAATAATGGTCCATCACTGCAAAGGAAAAAAAAAAGCAGTAGCACTACAAAAATCAGTTGCAAAACATCCATTGACATAAAGGGAAGGAGGAGTTGACCCAAAATGTAAATCAACAGTTCTGACAGAATCAAGTGAAAAACAAGGAGTTTGTAGTACGAAATAGTTGTATCAACTGTGGTTCTCATCCCATAATATTTGTGTAACGTGCACTGGATTAACAAGAGGAACACCTTTCACTTTTACTGTTGTCTCTGTTACAAATCTTGTATTTTACCTTCTCTTTTCTATATATTTATGTGTCATGAAAAGTCCAGCTGCTGGATTAGATTTGTTGGGTTTTCTGTGTATGGTTAGTATTGTCTTTTGTGTAAGTATAATAGGGGGCTATAATATCCAATGAGCCAGTCAAGAGGTTTCAAAATAGTGCCCAGTTTAATGCTCCATCTTAGCAGCCTTTGTAGGCATGAGCATCAGATGTTGTGTGTGCAAACATCAGACTATCATATGTGATTAAAACAATGGCTCATTTAGTCCTGCAGCTTCCCCCTGTAAGTACTGAATTAGTGCTTCAGGCTAGGGAGATCTACAAGAAACTGTCAGTGGACTGTTCTGGAGAACCCATTCCTAGAAGAAGTGTCTTTTCACTCAGTCCATCACAGACATTTCTTCTTAGACTTGAACCCACTTCTGAACACTGAAAAACTCTGTTGATATTTTTGTAGCGTGTTCTGTTATGCAAGCCTGTGACTGCCCAGCTCACTTTGCAGTCCACAAGGAGATAACAGGTAGAACATAAAGATTCCAGAAAGTCTGGGCTCAGCAGCTAGGAGGGAAAATCTCATGGATTTCTACTTGAGATGCCAGGATGTAAATTGCATAGGTATAAATCATTGCACTGCCAATCTATCCAAGTAATATATGTTCTTCAGTCATTGTTTGCAGACGCATGTTTTGCACATCTGTCTGTCATGGTAGTTTGATCTTCAAAGACTGATGCAAAGGCCGTAAATGTAATTTCTTCTCTTAGTTGCCCTTTGAGACTTAAGGATCAACCAATTTCCCAGTTTTTCCTTAAATTCCTTCTGTAGTCCCAGGTCTCTCTTGTATTAGATGTTTTTACAGGGCAAGTACAAGGAATAATTTGTAATCATGCAGAAATAGCTGGATAACAGGAGGTTACACCTGCTAGTTCTGTCAGGACAACTGCTTTCTCAATTTAATTTGAAGTTGCTTTGCTTAAGCAGCTACTCCTGAAGTCAAATGTCTATTTGACCATACCTTCCAGTTAGCTTCCAGTTACATAAGCCATTGAACCCTGAAACTTGCCATGGTTTTACCTTTATGTTTTGGAGAAAATCATTGGCAGCACTACTCTTTAATAGGAAACTTCAGAAGGAAAAAAGTACCCCAAGTGGGTTTTTTATTGTTTTGGGATTTAAAACTACACACATGATTTTAAAGACTTCCTCTTAATTTTAAATGCATAGTCTTCATAATATAGAGTAGATGAGTGGCAGAGAATATGAAAGATGCTCTTATCTAGTATCAGAATACTGAATTGCTATACTGCAAATACAATATTAAATTTTACTACTTGCTTTACAGTCAGTGAGATGCATAAAGTCCTTAGAGGAACAGAGACTCTTTTTCTGTTCATACATTCAAATGTAAGGAGAGACAAATCCTTTTTCAAAAAGCTCTGTCTAAAAAGACAAGAAAACACCAAGTCACATAAATGAAAGTTAAAGCATACCAAAGAAATACTCAGAAGAATGTTAGACAGATATATACACAGCTAAGTGAATTATAGATCTTTTTTTTAAGTAGAGTCTTTTAAGAATGTTTTATCTGAAACATTTAAATAGAGTATTTGTCTTAGTATCAATTCTTCTTTCCCATCAGTCTGGCACTTAGAGTAAATGCACACTGGAGCCAATAGCTTGAATGCAAGAGGAAAAGGGCTGCAAATTCTTGAGATCCAGCAGGGCTGGTTACACCAAGCATTGCCTGTATATGTCGCTGTTGCATGGGTTTCCCAGCCTCTTGCTCTTAAACTTTGTACCAAAATTTTGCTTGTAAGCAATTTTATACATTTGTTTAGTGCTTTTGGGGTTTCTTAACTGTAAGTAAAATGCATGTTATTTTTGTAAGGTTTTTCATTAGTTTATTTTATCTAACATTAGGCATGAAGCTCTGCTGCATTACATTTTAGCAGCTGAAACTGGGATTGAAGTGTCACAGTCAAATTTAGCACACATCTGTGAAGAAAGACCAGTGAGTAAATGAATTCACAACTCATTATCCTGAAAGGACACTTTGTTAATGATAATGTGTGCCATTAGTCTCTTACCTGGGATATGAATGAATTAATTATTTTCTTTATAGGACCTAGCAAGAAAATACCTAGCAACTGATTGTGTCTGGAGATACTACAATTTCTCAGTTTCTCAAGTCAATGCTCCATCATTTGGTATGTAAAAAGAATTCTTTCTAAATTTTAATGTTACTTTTTTTATTTTTTTTCAATTTCAGGGCCTGCGTTTGCCACAACTTCTGTGTGAGTAGGCAGGTTGAGAGAGGGAAGACTAATTCCTGCTAATCATACATTTGCTTTTTTGTGTTTTGATAGGAATATCAGGGTAATTAAAGGTAATTAAAGTGTTTTATTTCAGCACAGGTTTTCTGAAAATTTCCTTTTTATTGCATTAAATGGGTAAAATTTTAATAAAATAAAAAAGCTAAGCCCTGAGGAAGGGCTAGATATTTAGGAGTCTGAGCAGTTGACTCAAAGTTTAAGGAAAAAAAGCAGTAGACTTTAGGAGATCATGCTGTTTGGTTTATCAAAGGGAAAATCCAAAAGCAAATATACTTCTATATCATAATTGAGTCATGAGAAACTAATAAAGGCTAAGGGATTCCTTATCTAATTGATTATTAGTTTTCCTCTTAGGGTACAGAGTTTATCAACATTGGTAGAGATTACCTTGGAGAGCTAAAGGATTCTCTAAGGTCTATTTGCAAATAAGTTACATTCCTGAGGCCACAAATTGTACTACACCTAGGGCTTCTATAGCTAAGTCATTTTGGTGCCTCTGAAAGCTTTACTGAATATTTGAAAACATTGATCTGATTGTCTCACAGGAGCACTTCAGTGATTTGTAACGAGTATGTGGAAAAGTGGAGTGTAAAAATAATTCATGCTATTCATTTAAATACACAGTGTGGGAAATTTAAAAGTGTGGAAACTGAATACCACGTGGATATAGCCTGAAGCCAGAGGAGCTGAGAAACACTGTTAGCTTTCCTGTGGAGTTTGTAGACACCTCAGCAAGGTGTAGTTTGGTTGACCCTTTGGTAGATCCACTGATGCGAACTCACTTTGGAAAAACTTCTGAAGGTCAGACTCATAGGATGGAACTGTGATTCCATTTCAGTCTACTGTAAAAACACGTGGGATTTCTTGGTAGCTGGTGTAAACATACAAGCCAAAGTGTAGAAGAGTTTCAAACTATTTGAGGAAAGCTTAGGTCAGGTAAGTGTAGACACAGTCATAGGAATTTTTAAATTCAGTAGCACAGATTACTCACTGTGCTTGCTCCTGTCTGGGTCTGTGCCCTCTCTTTTGATGCATTTCATTATGGTGCAATGTCACAGAAAGATGTTTGTAAAATATTTGCTAGGCATTGCTCCCTTCTAGACCAGGAGAATTGTATCCTTACTGTTGTCCTGGGTTGAGTTGGATTTGAAGCTAATAAAATTATCAGCAGCAACATTCTCTAACTTTTGGGAAAGGTTCAGCCACAATAGTGTCAGGCACAGAGCAAAACACAGATGGCATGGTTTTAAGTTTCTTCAGTTTAGTAGGGCTAATCTGACTAAATAAGGCTTCAGGTTGTCCAAAGACAGATTCAGCAAGTGAAGAAGGAATGAAATACAAAGACTCTCAAGTCTCAGATTTTGTAAGAGCAATGTCATTCACTAAATTCATTAAAGAGAAACAATGAGAGATTTCATCCAGGATAATTATTATCAGTGGGAGAGTGATAAAAAGTAGCCACAGAGACAGCCAGAGAGAAAGAGTATATTTGTTTTTTAGTATTGTGCTTTAAACAGAATTACTGTTAATTTCTCCATCACATTAACAGTTGATTAATTCTATTGCTACAAATAGTCTGAATTATTTTCTGCTGGTTTCTTCTACAGCTTATTTGAAGATGGGAGATTTCTACTACTATGGCTACCAGAACCAGTCTAAAGACCTGGAGCTCTCCATGCGGATGTATGCCCAGGCTGCCCTGGAGGGTGATTCACAGGTGGGTCTGCAGTCATGGCAAAACAGCAGAGTGCAGAACAATCAGAGAATTTAGCTGGGACTGGTTCTTCTGCTTGGCCTCATCTGCACCAAAGAAACCTGCTAGAATAATTTACAATTATTTCAAAATACCTTGTGAGTCAGTAGTTGCTGTTTCATAATAGAAGATAAACTTAGCATAGAGTAATGGTCTTAGAATTAGGCTGCTTTGTAAGCTAAAGGTAAAGGGCCTAATTTGGTGCTACCTTACCTTGACGCAATTGACTTGGTGGTGACCTCAGTACTTTTGCTATTGCAAGAGAAAGAATTAATAGACTGCTGGGTTGTATTCCAGTCCTATCCTCTGCCATTTTATGATTAAAAAAAAGACTGGCCCATTTCCCTTGGTATATTATACCAAGTGAATCCCAGGGTGAATTTTGTACACTAATGAAGGTTTCATCTTAAAATGCTTTATAATTAAAGAATACACCATGTAACATTACCAAAGACATGCAGTGTTTCACCACTGAGTTTCCTGTTCTCAGGCCCTCCTGAAGTGTCCTGGGTGCAATATTGTGTTCTCCCTGTCCCTATGGCAATATCCCCAGATGGTGTCTTGTATGTGAACTTATCAAAGGTATCATGGGTGGGTTTTGTTTTGAGGTTATTGGGACAAAACATTACTGCTAAACTAGCAATGGAAAGAAGAGATGCATAAATAGTTACTTTAAAGTATGAAAGTCAAAGTGATGGGGAATCCTGTAAAATGTGTTGTGTGTGTTCATCTTCATGACTCTGAAGAGACACAGGGTTGCCTAAGACTTGTCCAAATAAGCAAAACCATAAGATCAAGGACTTAAATTGTCTGGAGGAAATTCCTGCTCTCAATTTCACTATTCAGATTCTGTTGATCTGTGGAGCTATGTGAAGGGGAATTGAAGAGTAACAGAATAGAAATCCAGTTCTGCTTTCACTATGTATTTTCCTAGGATTAAAAATGGCAGTTTGATATGGTGACTGCACTTAAAGAGCAATTCAGAATAAATTCAGAAAGAAACCATCTGGAAAAAGATAATGAGCTAAGAAAATAGTGTCACAACATCTGAATGCTTCTTTTGCATTTTCACATTTACCTGAGTATATGGTTAGGAGAAAAGGCTCTCATAATTATTCAGTGAATATCACATTATACTAAACAAACTGAGGGAAGACAGTTATAATTATTTAGATACTTGGTGCTTAAATACAGATATGAAAATTTAATGTTTAAAAAATATGGGGTTTTTTTTACTGTTAGGGTTTCTTCAATTTGGCCCTTGTCATGGAAGAGGGCAACTCCATACCTTCCTACATTCTGGATCACTTGGATATTGATCAAGCATTGCATTCTAGTAATATATCACTTCTTCAGGAGCTGTATTACAGGTGAGTCTTTTTTACCCTTAATCAGCATCTTCTGGTTTTTCACGTGAGTAACATTTACTCTGGAGGACAGCAACTCCTGTAATTATTAACTTTGTTCACTTTTGTGATTTAAGGCATGTTAAGGTCAACATACTTGAAATTCTTAAATTCCCTAAATATATTTCAGTTTATGCCTGATTATATGTGTTTACCTGAAATAGCAGGGACTGGATTCAATAATCAGGAGGTCTTTTCCAGTTCAATGTATTTAAGTTCCTAAGTTAGGCACTGGTGATTTGTATGCAGTCCAAACCAATAGTTCAATTCTAAATGCAGCATAATTTAATAAAGAACTTGAAAATGTGTAACTGGGATAATAGCAATCCTCCCTATTGATTCTGCAAATATGTCCAGGGAGGCATCGATATTGTGGCACAGAATATTGGGTATCTGAGAATGTTCCAGGTCTGCTGCCTGAATGACCTGTGCCAGCACTATTCATGGACAAACCACCTAGTGTCCTCTGGTTCCAGTACAGAACGTGGGTTTCCTTTACCCAGGTAAAGCAACAGGTGGTGGAAGACACAGTGGGAATGTGAAGCTTACACAATATTTGGTGAATTTCAGATTTTTGAAGAAGCAGGAGCTAATGGTCAGTACATGAGGCTGTGAATGATGAGTGTGTGGTTTATCATCTGTTTTGCTACTGAGTGAACCCAGAGAGGTGGAGATGACACCAACATTGAAACCTAATTTGTCTCTTCACCACCCATCTGCCGAAATTGTTCTTCACTGCAGTTAGACTAAACTTCTACCCTAAATTACTTCCAATGCACATGAAACTGCTAGTCAGATACACAGGTGGTCTGGACTATCTGGGATTGTAAGCTTGAGTCTGAATTTTGCCTTCACTTGGGCTGAATCCACCTGTTTTGCTGTGAGAGTAATTCCAGAGTTGGCAGTGCTGAAGGGTTTTCCCATCATCATACAATTTTGTCCAAAAGGGCACATACTTTTCTATATTTATATATGTATATTTATACATATACACAGTCTGTGACTTTATAACTAAATTATATATATATTTATAACAAAATTTATGTAGAAAAGGTATCTATCTATATATATACATCATCACTCCTTCCTTAGCTTTGTAGAAAAGAATCAATTGAAGCTTAAAATAGATGCCTGTGATTTAGCTGTCTAAGCTCCCCTAGTAGGTGAAGTCCTATTTGATAGAAATAAGAAAGCTGCTCAGCTCACCCCCCACAGGAGGTGGGTACCTTGTGCTAATCAGTTAAAACTCTCTTCAAGCTCTGACTTCATTCTGTTATACAGCATTGTCTCTAAAGGAGGTTTGGCACCAGTGTTCTATGTAGGCAGCTCAATTTTGCACATCTAATTTTAAATCAAGTCCTTCTGTTAGAGCTTGAACTGTGACTGCTTTGAAAGTGTAGCCTGGATGCTTAGACCCATTGTTGACTAGTAAGAAAATAAAAAGACACACTTATAGGGTAAGGTAGTCTTCGCTTAATAAGTTTAAGCTGGTATTTTTCTGCATTTTTACTTCACCATCTGCGAGATAGTGATGATATATTTGTTTGTTTGTCTGGATTACTGGTTCTGCAAACCCATTTGAGATTCCCAGATGATTGATGCCACAGAGTTGTGGAGGAGGACTAATTAGTTGTTTTTATCTTCTTGTTGTAGGTGCTGGAATAATAGTAACCAAGAATCAATTAGTCCATGTTCATTAGCATTGCTTTATTTTTACATGAGAGTTCTCTGGAACAATGTTTTACATTCTACTCTGGTATGTATTGCTCCTTTATTACATGCACAGTTCATTTGGAACTCTAGCTTGGCTTTGCACTGCTCTAACTATGTTTTTAAAAATTACTGTCACAGATCTACTTCATGGGAACCTTTCTTTTATCGATTCTTGTTGCATTTGCAGTGCAGTCTTTTCAGTCTTTATCTGGTAAGTATGTGTCACAGTAAAACTGAAGAAAGAGGAGTGATCTTTTTAGGTTAGTAAAACCTTCAAAAATGAAAGCAGAATTCTCGATTTGATAGAAGTACCTCTGAGCACCAGCTTCTTTAACACATAAGTCATTTTTTTGATCATTAAAAAGGAGTAGATGAAGCAAAGCATAACTTTAAACCTGTTGGTTTCTGAAGAACTTCTCTTGCTAAAGGAGACTTAATAAAAACCCTTAACTGCATGTGATTATTCCCCATCTCTCAACATGCAGTACTGTTACACTAGTTATATGACTTTGATTCCCTATCTAGTCTCTGCAATATGTAGTCAAAGTGTGTTTCCTGTTTCATAGGATTGGATCTCTTCAGATGCAAGGTGGGAGAAAAAGTGAGGTTCCAAGAGCTGGCACATTTGAGTAACTTAGTGAGTCAGTTCAGACTCTTAACACCAGTAACAGAATCAGCAAATGCATTCAGTCAGGAGTTACAGAACCTGTCATAATAATTCTGAAATCCTTCTTTCTTTTCTTACTAGCTGTTCGTTTATGTAACTTGGAAATCATGCAACAAATTTGTAATCTTCTTTGTTATAGATCTTCTTCTTTCGTATTTCCAAACCTTTGAATATTATCTTTATATGTAATTTTACATCCACATAATACTAAATATTGTTTTGTAGACTTCCTAGACACAGTAGAGTTTTCTAAAATAATTTTTTTTTACATTCTTCTGAAGCTCATCATTCTCCTGGAAGAAGATCAGAACCATTGTCACATGATGTCCCTTCTTCCTTAGGGAATGACAGTGAGGATGCTACCAGAGCAGTACAGCAAGATGAACCTACTCTTTCAAATGATTTATCACAGCAGGAGTCAAACCCTCAGAATCCTCTTGTCACCAGCTGAAGTGTAGTTTTCTTCAGGTTGACGTCCATTGGGAAGACAGGATATGAACAACTACGATTCTAAGAACTGACAACCAACCCTATACATGGCATTAATAATGCAGTCCAACAGCTGAAGTTGTAGGGAAGTTCAGTGATCTGACTTCTCCACTACAGAGAAAAACCATCCCTATAATTTATTTAACTCCAAACAGATGATGCACACACAATCATACCGTATGTCATGGAAGGACCTGAAAGAAAACCTGCAAAGTCTGTGCCTAATTGAAAAAAAGAAAACATCCCACAGATGTTAATGAAGTTTTACTCACACATCTAATCTCTTATAAAATTGTTTTTACTGCATTTGAGCTTATTTATTGGTAAAATTAGCGAAGTTTTCCAAGTCTGAGTCATGGAAATTACCCAGTCACCCTTACTTTCCAAGTTCCATGGAAACCAGTCAGGACTTCAGTACATGCAATGGTAACAATGAGTTTTTGGCATTTTATAGTCCATGCTGATTTTTCAATGTAAAAAGTGTTTTGTTTTGAAAGAAAACACACCAGGAATATTTGCAATATGGTCATAACATATTAGTTATGATTGCTAAGTTTTAGTCAAAGTTTTACAAACATCCATATTTCCTGGTGGACACAACAAAATATTTCTCTTCCTGCCAAGAGCCACTGATTAGAGAAAGGAGCTCCCCAATGAATAAATAAGTGTGATCAGGTGACACAAAGTCAAAAAATTATTTTTTTATTGTTCTGTAGATAGCACTGGTAAGGATTCATTTCATGTTCTATAATGACTCTAAAAGACATATTTAAGTGACAGTTCATTTGATAAATTTTGGATGGGACATATGGATAACGTGTATGGAGTGCAAATACTTTCTATCTGATTTAAAGCTGTCTGTCAAGTGGCTGTAGGAAGGGTCTATCCTTTACAGCAGGTGTGCAGTCACCTCTGCAAAATTATGTAGATCACAGACTATAAATTACATCAATCTATGCATTATTGAGGGTTAAATCCACTTGCCTTGCACTACATTATTTACTCTTGTAAATAAAAATATTTTTTTAATTCAGCCTGTATGTGGAGGAATTTCTTTTAAGACACCTCTTGGATGAAATACTGGCTTGCTGTTGCAATGTCTCAAGATCATTATTTTCATGTCTTAGCTTCAAATGAGACAATCAGCTTTCACTTTCTTTGAGGAATACAGTCTTCTCACAGAGCAAACCTGGAATATTTTGTTTTATGTTTCAAAGCAAAAGAGCAAGGCGTAGGAGGTTTCAGTGAGAAAGGAATAATTTAAAAGGAAAAAAATCTTTGACCTTCAAGAGAGATTTTTATATTTTTATAGAAGTGTCTATACATACACATCATCAAGGCATGTTTCACTTGCAGAAAACTGAAAACTCAAAAGTGTTGAGAGAAGAGTTGATGCTTTGAGTCACCAGCTCCCTTGACAAGTCATGGGATAAAAATGAAGATGTTGAAGCTCCTCCCCCTCCTGATGAGAAAGTAAATTGTGTGTCACGTTACCAAGTTAGAGTTTTTCATTTATTTGATCAAGAACTGTGCAGAGAACACTTTTTGTTCTTAGTACAGTTGTAGATACATATTTTGTTCTTTCTATGTATAGGTAGGTATTTTAATGTGTTAGGAGCTTGGCTTTTACATACTAAACTGTTGTACTCAATGGGGTTAGATTATGTGTATTTGATATCCATTGCAAATGGTCCCCGTTATTTTTGAGTCTGTTTTGAGTTGCAAAAACTTGTGTAGCTAAATTTGATTATATCGAATTCCTTAACACAAAGATATGGCTATTTCAAGAGCCCTCTCAACTGTATTTTTGTCACCTAATAAAAGAAGACTGTGCATCTGTATTAAAACTGGAGCAACTTTAGATGGTAAAACCAGAAGCAATGCAGAAAGTCAAGCGTAGCCCTTGAAGACAAGCAGACAAATGTCACAACATAGGCACAGTGTTAGGTTAGGTACCAAATGGCATGGACAGTTAGATGTTCACAGAATACTATTTGGGCCTGCATAAGACAAATTCTGCTTATGGGTAGCTACACATTAAAGGTGTATTTTGCTACAAATGTCACATGTAGCAAAACTGAAGCCCCTGGTGAAATACTAATCCCATAGGAGTTTGTCAGCAGTGGTGTGATTGCAGCCCATGTGTTGCAATCTGGGAGTTCTCCAAGCAGCAGTGGTTTAGATTGTGTAAATACAGGTCAGAGTTAAGTGTTAGCACTCCAGCTCACTCTGTTTTCCTTGCCAAAGCCCATGTTCTGAACACTAGTAATTAATTAATTTGAAGAGTTCTGCCAGAAACACAATTCAACATCTATATTTCAGAAGGCAATTGCTAAAGCTGCAATATATTTCATGACGCCAGCAGTTAATAATTCCATCTTTGTTTATTGTTGCCTATTACATCAGAAGTTCTACCAAAGTATTTTAAGATAAGCAGCTCTTTACAATTAACTGGCAGTCCTGAAGGCTAAAATAATATTAGTTACATTATTGTCCTTCACTTCTTGTAAGATCCAGGGGGCTATTGACCACCTAGAGAACCAACCAATTCCCAGTGAGAAAGAGAATGGTTATTCACACAAGGCAGCTGCATAGTTTGCTACATCCACAAGGAAAGCAGGGAGAGAAGGGGAAAAGGGTTGCTGCATCAAGAATTATTTTTCATAAATTGAAACATGATCACTGAAGTTTATAGTTTCTGAAGCCCATGTTGAGTGTTCAGGGTAGGAATAAGGAAATAATAAAATCACAGTTGTAGAGCTGAACTGCTCTGTAGAGTTTATTTATACACATTTGATAGAAGTCCAGCTATCTGAACAACACAGGTCATGCATAAGGCAGGGTAAATGATGACCATTTTTCTTTCTCCCTTGCTTCTGCTCAGAATCATCTTCTAGCAAATAAATTATGGACAAAAAAAGAATTTCAGAAGGGTTATTTACAAAATAGGTGCCAAATTATCTAAAAAGAATGCAGTTTACACCAAGTAAATGGATTTGTGTGTTACAGAACGTGACAGGGGAGAGAGGTTGCTACATGCATTGTATCAAAGTGCTGTGGGAAGAAGGGAGAATGTGAAGTTACAAAAAATAAGTCAATGTTGACCAGTTCTGAGTAGTTACCAACTACAGCTTTATGAAGAAAACAATTCAGACCAGTTATGAAAGATTTGCATCTGTGCTGACAAGTTTGTTCAGCTCTGAATCACAGGGTAGTAGCAGGACAGCACCAAATGTGGGGGGCATCCATATGGGGGTGACTGACCACTGGCTGAATGGTGTTGCTTCCCAGAACATACAGTGAAAGAGCTTTGCATCCCAATAAATAAGCATGAGGATGGACTTAAAGTTCTATATTAATACATTGCAATATCAATGTTACTTAGTGATAGAGGAGACATTTGTGAATTAATCCTGGTATACTGATTACATATTATAAACATACCCCTTGCTGGTATTTTTGTATTCCCATTTGAGCTACTGGAAAAGCATAGATGATGTTTAAAAACCACATGTGAAACATGGATTATCTGTGAAGAGAATTTATTTATAGCAGATTCTTGTGTGTGTAAGCTGTTCCCATTGACTAATGGACTATGATGTTTAACACTGGCTGTTGACCCTTATCCTGAATGAAACATAGCACAAAGGCATGAAACAAGTTGAATAAGCTTTGGCAGAGGTATTCCATCCATAGACTCTCACCTTCCTCCCATAGATGTGTGAGCTCTTTTAAAAGACAGGGATGCAGGAAGAGAACAAAAATAAAAGGCTGGATTTTTTTAAGAAAAAGCCCAAGGATAAGAAAACTAAAGAATGGCAAAGGGAATCTGAGCATGGAACAATTTCTTATGCTGTCTTCTAAGACATAGGTGACAAGAACAATTACTAAATAATCAACAGAAATTTGTAAATAAAGAAAATGCAGCATCTGGAATATAGGTGTATTGGAAATGCAGCACAGCCTCATTATTTATCTAAATACTTAATTCCTGTGCCAGGAGACTTCACTATATTTGCAATAAGGAAAATAACAGTGAGTCTATAGCTAATTAGCAAATCAGACCAGATAAGGAGAAATGAGTAACCCAAATGGAAAGGAAAAGATACTTGCATTATTGCAGTATATAGTTATGTAACAGTTACAGTAAGCAAAAAAAAAAAAAAAAAAAAAAAAAAAAAACCAGAAACCACAACCAAACAGAAGCCAAATCACTTGCAGCAGATCAGATATTCTGAGGCACTGATGTTCCAAACTGAAATTGCACCAACAGTGCTGAGTGCCTGTTGACTTAAAGGATTTGAGTTATTTGACAAGTGCTATCAGATACCCATCCACCTTTGGGCATCTAAATAACCCCTTAGAAGAAAACTGGCTGCAACAGCTTTGTTTATAACTGTTCAGGATCTTTCTGTTAATGTATTCCTTGACCTTGCTTCCCTCCCCAGTGTGCATTTTTTGATTTTTGTTGTTTCTTTTGTTTGTCCACACTGACATCTCCTTAATCACTCCTGAACCGTCTAGATAGCTGTTTGCTCTTATCAGTTATGCCAGGTGAGCAGGAAAACGCACAAGTCCATTAGCAAACCTAGCACCCTTTTCTGATAATCTGCCAAGGCAGGAAGTGAGATACCTGCTTGGCATTATCTATCCATCCATTACAGCATGTCCTGAGAAATTGATTTATGCAGCAATAGTGCAAGTTATTAGCAAATCTCCCCAGATAGACTAGTAATGATAAACTAACCAAGGCCAGGCTGTGCTGTCTGGTTGTGATGAGTTAAACTTTTCCTGTGAATCCATTTACCTCATCTGTTACTTCTTGGACCAGTCTCGGTCCATAAATTCCCCAAATGATGCCCAGCCATTGTCTAGGAGGATTCCTCTCAAATGGGCTTGAGCTAGCTCAAGCAGCACACCCCCAAATAGTTGAGATCATCATAACCCAGTGCCCAAGCTTATTCTCCAGACCTTGTTCAGTTTAGTTGTGCAGATGAACCAAAACTCCTTGCCTCTTACAGGCTCCATTCCACCCCCAAGCAATGACTGAGATTAGTCCTTCCAATTTCACCAGCCTGTTTATCAGTGTGAGCCTTCCAGCAGCCCCAGCGTGGTCAGAGCTGTTTTGAAGGCTTGCTTTCTTGAGAGAAGTGTGCTCAGCCTGTGTTTGTAGAACACAAGACAGTCTTTCTGAAAAACACCAGTACTGACTAGCTGGAATGAGAAATTAACATCTCTACTCATGTTTTATCTTGTTTCATGAAGACCAGTTGTAGTTTTCCCCTTCTGCTCTGCAGAGTTAGCAGTGGCAATAACACTGTCCCTGCTTCTTTGTCCCATATCAGCTCTGTCTTCTGTCCTACCCAGGTGACAATGTTTAGAGGTTCCTATCTCTCATCAGTCCTGCATTGCTCTTCCAAGCCAGCTTCTGTTGCACATGGATAGCCTTTCCAATTTAATTTTTGGGTTAAACACAGTACACTAGTCCCAGGAAACAAATTAACCTTTGCATTTCAGTTGGTTAAAATACCAGTAGGGGAAACCCAGGTACACCTACTCCAATGTAGAAAAGTCTGGGCTAGTTCATTGAACAAATATTAGAAGTCACAGAGGATCAAGTAGCCTGATCAGGGGAAGGAAGTGGGTGAAGCATTCTATTGGCAGCTGTAAGTATCTCAAAATCACAAGCACTAGTTCCTGTGAGTTTAACTACACTGACATCAGCTGGAGAAGCAGCAGAGTGATGCACAAACAGTCCATCCAGGAGTCTCCTGGAAAGCACTGATAACAGCTTCCTGACACAGGCAGTGGAGCTCCCACAGGGAATAGCGTGCTTCTCAATCTTGTGCTAACAAACAGGTAAGGCCTCCAAGGTTGGAGAAGTGAAGGCTGGGGGCAGCCTTGGCTGCAATGACCATGAGTGTTGGAGTTCAGTAACAGACAAGGAGGAAACAGGGCAGGAAGCAAGATTGCAACTATGGGCTTCAGGAGAGATAACTTTAGCCTCTTCAGGGATGTTCTTGGAAGAATCCC